TACTTCCGTTCTCATATTTAACTTTGATCATTCGTCTTCTTTCAAATAAAATTGGAATACTTAAATAGATATCATAGTATCAAAAAGTATTACATACTAATAAACATTAAGAATTAAACCACTTATTGTAATCAAATTATTTTTAAGAGTTATAAGTGGTCAAAGTTGAAACAATATCGATCAATAAACATATGATAGAACTTATAAAAATCATATTCATCCACATCAATATTTATGAAAAGTTTGTAGCTATTTTACTTTACATGTAAGAGTATTAGCTTTTTCTGACGGTGAGAAATTGGCTTGTGGGAATCTGCCAACTTCTGAGTTCTAATTAATTTTCTATATTTTTCTCAGAATTTAACTGATAATTTAAACTATGTAGGGAAACTTGAGATTTTAGGAGAACCTCCAGTGTATGGTTAAAATCAAACCGTGCATAAAAAAAATCGAACAGACCATGCTGTGAAAGTCGGCTGGTAAGTGTCCGGAGGAAAACATGTTCTTTAAAGAGAAGCCGAACACAACCAGTTAAAAAAATATTTGTTGCGCACGGCTATCAGACTGTGATTCTTTTTTCGCATGGGTCCCACAATCGATTTTTACACTGTGATGGTTAAAGAGAACTTTTGTTCGGCTTTCATGGAAGTGCTAGTCGAACTAAACACTATAGGTGCCCTAACAGAAGGTGAAGCTGTTAGAGCCGATATAATAGGATGTTTTAGCGGCGATACTGTATGTATCCTACCAAATATGCTGAGTTGGCTGAGAATTAGCAGAGAGAGAAAGAGAGTGTGTGTGAGCCGGCGACTAATTTGTCGCTGACTACACACACGCTCCAAGACAATGGATGCAGCACCATGACTGCTTCTACTGGAACACGCAAGCAAGCACATGGGCGATTTCGATGTTCGACGGCAAAAGGGGCGGAGCGACGGGCGAAATGATGCAGCGGGAGGAAAGCTCGATGGCGACGCGATTGAGAGCTAACAGAGAAGTGAGTTCGTTGGCGGCAATGCCGACGGAAGCCGGGAGGTCGAGGATAGGGACAGCTTTGTTGGCGATGACGCCGACGAAAGCCGCGAGCCCGAGTACGGCAACAACGTTGGTGACGCGAGTGGCGACGGGAGCTATGAGCTTGAGGGCGATGACCAGAGGGACGATAGTTCTACGTTCTCCATGCTCCATGGAGCAAGCGGCTCAATGCAGCTGCCTGTTGTCCCACCCCGCCCGCACTCCACGCTTTTGCTACGATTCGCTCGCTGGCAGTCATCTAGCCATGGCACCAGCTCTATGTCCATCCATCTTTGCTAGCTGCTTGCAACCTGCATATCTCCATAACAATAGATAGATCAAATAAGAGGTGGAAACTAGAAAGGGAGTTGTAGCAAGCTAGAAGATGGATTGGACATGAAGATCGATGGGAACTGTGTACGGTTAGGGCAGTAGCAGTGCGTCCCACAAAAGTGAGGAGCCCATATGTCCACATAGGAGAAAACCCCGGAAAAAGGAGTCGAAGCACCTCTCTTCACAGTGCGGGCACGCGTAGTGTAGCTTTAGGTGGACCCCATCAATTTATTTTCCTGAGGCCGACCCCACCACGACGTTTCTCTTCATCTTCCCGGATCAATCTCTCCTGCACCAAACCAACCTCCGCTCCTTCCCCTCTCTCTCTTCCTCTCCCTCCCTGAACTGGCACATGACATCAACTCCCCTCCCCCTACTCTCCTCGTCAGGGTGGAATTTGTGGACGTGGGTGCCTCCCTCCCCCTACCGTGACGGACACTTGGCGACGACGAACTTGGCGCTCCGGGTGGCTCAAATCGAGAGCCGGCGTGGGCGGCGAGGTCCGGGTGGCTCGGATCAAGGGGCGGCGCGGCCAACGAGCTCCAGGCGGCTCAGATCAAGAGGCGCGGCCAACGAGCTCTCCGGCCCCACGCCGCTTTTCCTCCGCCGCACCATTTCTCCCTCCTCCCCATCCGACGGCGCATCGATGCAGACAGAGCTGGACGGGAGCAATGATTCTAGCGCGGGAACAAAGATGCAGAGCGAGGGAGCAGAGGATTGAAGCTACGACCTCCACAGCGCAGACGCGAGGTGATTCCCTGTGTCACGCGTCCTCCTTTCGACGAGAAAACTCATTGCCCAGATAGGGGGTGGGCGACTAAACAGAGTACCATGCTTCGTCACCACATATGCGCGGGTCCGACGTGGTGTGCGAGATAACGCTCCAGCTCACCACACTGTAAAAGGCCTTAGAAGAATACTCCATCCGTTTCAGATTATAAGACATTTTGACTTTGTTCAAAGTTAAACTATTTTAAGTTTGACGAAGTTTATAGACAAATACAGTAATATTTAAAATACCAAATTAGTTTCATTAAATCAATAATTGAATATGTTTTCATAATAATTTGTCTTAGGTTGAAAATGTTATTTTTTTCTACAAATTTAATTTAATTTAAAGCAATTTGACTTTAGTTAAAGTCAAAATGTCTTATAAATGTAACAGAGGGAGTATATGCTTACTATATGAACTAGCAAAATGTCCGTGCTTCGCTACGGTATTAACCAAAGTTATTTTCACACTGTTTTGGTACTTTTTCTTGCTAGAAAAAGTCTCAAATGATATAGAGAAATATAGTAGCTCATAATAAATTATTGAATGTTTGCTTGCTATAAAAAATCTCAAATGATACATAGAAATATAGTAGCTCATAATAAATTATTATTCAATAGTGCGTTGCAACGGGAAAAAACTAATGTTATTAAGTTAGTAAATTTATAGAAAAAAGAGCATCCACGTTAGCTCTTATGGTCTAGAAATTCTCATATTAATTGGAGTAAAATATAAAAAATAAGGAGAACTTATTGTAGACAAGGACTCTTTCATTTTTTTTAAAAAAAATCGCGTTGTCCAATCATAAATAATATTGGATGAGGAGTCTAGAATATTCTCCAAAAGCGCCTAGAGTGCATATAGGAATACAATTTAGAAAAAAAAAATTAAAATTCAAAATAAAAAATATTGAAAGAAGAGTTTAAAGTCCATATAGAAAACTAATTAGAACAATAAAAAATAGGAATATTGGAAGAAGAATAGAGTTCATATAGAATTAAAAATAATTGAAATTATTTAATTTTAGTCTAAATTTAAATTCTATATCATGAGAAATAAATAATTGCATTTTTAGTTGAAAAATAAATAGAAAAATCTAGCCAAATTTTTAGTTTATTGAATTTAGTTGGAATTAAATTAATAAGCAGTCATAAACAATTAAAATGGTATTAATGCTATTTCTTAAAATAGAAAGATGCTTAAAATTACTGAGAGAGAAAACATTGATTTTAATTGTGGGCTATTTGGAGGCCCAATAATGCGGAGGCCCAATAGTCCGGTGGTCCGATGCGGGAGAAGCCGGAGTCGTTCTATCGAATGGACTGTCCAGATTGAACCAATATAAATATATGCAGCAAAACCCTAACCCTAAAATTCTTCCCCCCTCCCCACTTCCAATCTCCTTTCTCTCTCTCTATCTCTCTCTCTCTCTTGATCGAAAACTTACGGCAACAGCGGTGACCTCCGCCACCGAACAGCGACGGCGGCGCCCTCCTCCCCCCCACCCACGAGCGGCTGCGGTGCGCTCTTCCCTCCTTCCCACGAGCGGCGGAGGCGGCGGCTCCCTCTGTCCCGTCTCGCCTCCCTCGCCGGCAGCCGCTCCCTCCGCCCTGTCTCGCCTCCCTCGCCCCTCCTCCTCTCCATCTCGCCTCCCTCCTGTGGTGGATACGGCGGTGATGGCGGCGGGTTGGCAGTGGCCGCGAGCGGATTCGAGGGTGGTGGCGGCGGATCCCTCCACCCCCTCTAGCCTCCCTCCCGTGGCATATCCGCCGGCGATGGCCGCGGGCGGATCCAGCGGTGGCGGCTCCCTCCCCCTACCCGCCTTCCTCCTGCGGCAGATCCGGTGTCGGTGGCGTCCGTGGTCGGATAAGGAGCGGCGGCTCCCTCCGCCGCAACTCTTCTCCCTCCGGCGACGGTAGCGGGGTTGGCGGCGGCCGAAGATGGATCCGGCGGCGGTGGCAACGGCCGAGGGCGGATCCGGCGGCAGGCGAGTGAAGTTTTGTGATGTATATTGTTGTTCTTCTTTTTGATGTATATTTTTGTGAAGTTTTGTGATGTATTTTGTGATGAGTGTGGTTGATTTTTTTTTTGCAAAGAGTGGTTGAGTTTTGGTTGTGCCGATTTTGGGAAGTGTTTCCATGTTTCTGATTCTAAGAGCGATTGGGATTCGGGGGCTACGAAGGCGCACCGCCGACGGACGAAGACACCTTCGTCCGTCTTGTGATGAACGGAAAATTACGAATATTTTAATTAGTTAAGATATACTCCCTCCGTTTCTAAATATTTAACACCGTTGACTTTTTAGCACATATTTGACCGTTCGTCTTATTAAAAACTTTTGTAAAATATGTAAAACTATAAGTATACATATAAATATATTTAAAAATGAATCAAATGATAGAAAAAAATGCGTCAGATATTTAGAAATGGAGGGACTATATACACAGCAAGCAGACTGCAGAAGCAGAGGAGACGTGTGTAGATCCCTCTCCCTGATGGCTTCATCAAAGTCCGTGTGTAGGCCGCCCTGGACAAAACGGAGTCCGCGACGTGCGTGGCCCACGCGACGTTCCACCTGGGCCTCGATCTGTATGTGTGGGCCTTCATATGTTGAGCCCATTAATTTGTTTTTGCTTGGGCTCAGTTGCCTGAAGAACACTCGGATGAATCGGAGAGCGCACGAGGAAAAATTAGCGCGATTAATGACGGACGAAAGCACGCAATCACAGATGTGACGAAAGGAATTATATGAATCATTTAATTTAATTAGTTAAAATTGGTAGTTTTTAACGCTACCTATAATAAGCTGATGTGCCAATCTTGGAGCCAGTTGCACTATCTCGCTCTTAAAACCGAGCGGCCGAGCGTAAACTAGCCTCAAACAAACCGACCTGGACACGTCGACACGATCACATGGTCCATCATCCTGGGCCCACAAGTCATAGAGCCAACGAACTTCAATTCAGCCATCCCCAACAAATCGCATCGTTACTCCTCTTCCTCTGCCTGCCGCCCCCAATCGCCGGCGATGCCGCGCCCCGCCGCCTCCTCCTCCAGCCGCCCTCCGCCGGAAGGCGAGCCGGCCTCGAGCCGCGCGACCTCCTCTGCGGAGTCCTCCATCGCGTCCCTCATCGACCGCGCCACCTCCACCACCTCCCCCTCCGTCGACCCGGCCCTCCTCCGCGCCATCAAGTCCGCCGCCCGCGCCTCCGACGGCGCCATCCGCGACGCCTTCCGGATCCTCCTCTCCCTCATGTCCAAGCCCCACGCCCACGTGAGTAAGCTCCTCCCTGCTGGTTTGATTCCCTTGCCGAATTCGCCCAAACCCTAACTCGCCCAATCTTCAGGTGCGGCTGCTCGCGTTCATCATCGCCGACGAGCTCTTCATGCGCTCGAAGCTCTTCCGCTCCCTGCTGACCGACGTGCTGGACGGCTTCCTCCCGCTCGCCGTCGGCTTCCGCCGCGCCCACCCGCTCCCGCCGCCCGCTGCCTCCGCGACCCTGCTCCGCAAGGCCGCCGTCCAGGCGCTCGAGCGCTGGCACCACCTGTTCGGCGCGCACTACCGCCAGCTCCGCCTCGCCGTCGAGTACCTCAAGGAGTCCGCCCGGGTCCAGTTCCCCGGCCTCCGTGCCGCCGTCGAGGCTCGTGCCGCGCGGGAGGCTCGCACGCAGGAGATCTTAACTGCAAAGGTCGAGCAGTTGCGCCGAAACCTGGCAGCGATTAAGGCTGAAATCCGCTCCGCGATTGATGAGATCCGCAATGGGTTGGATATCATTCGCATCGAGAGTGAAAAATTTAACAATTATGCAAATGATGAGGATGAGGAGCAGGAGATTGCCTCTTTGGCGATGCGGAGTATTAGGATGGCTTCTTTGATGGCTGGGGAGTGGGTTCCTGAGACTCAGGAGAATGAAGCAGTTTTCGACGCGTTGAGGGAGTCATATCGGCTCCTTGTGTCAAAGCATTTGGTCACAGTTCAGGAATGGATATCTGTGCTGGTTAGGGTCAATCTCGCAGATAATCGTTTCAGAGATTCTGCTTTGAAGGAATTCATTGATGTTAAGAATGAAATACGAGCGGTGAGAAATCGGTGTAGTGAGCTTGGTCTTAATCTTGACAATGTCCATAGGCGGAAGGGTGTTCAGGAGGAAGAGGATGATGACTTTTGGGTTGAGGGGAATATTGAGGTTCCTAGCCCTGGTAGAGTAGGTACCAGTGCAGATGTTGCAAGTAGCAGCAAGGACACTAGAAAGGGAAAGAAGCCAGTAGGTGGCACGGATACTGATGATGGCAAGGCACCTAATGCTGGCAATAGTCCTCAAGAGCTGGATCCAGAGAGGGCAAAGCTGCATGCAGAAGCCCCTGTGCTGCCATGGAGCTCTGTTTTGGATCGTTGGGGTTCTAACAGGGATGCACTTGTAAACCAAAGGGGACTTGAGCTCGAGAGCCATTGGGGAAGGGTGGATAATGATGCTGTTATACCTGCTGCAAAGATTGCAGAATTAAATGTTCATAGTTCAATATATAGAGAAGATCCAGTTGAGATTCTACCATGCCTTGCACCTCTGAAGAAAGGAGGCCTTTGCCAGAGAAGAGATCTCAAGATATGCCCGTTTCATGGGCCTATTGTTCCACGAGATGCCGAAGGAAATCCAATTCATCAGAGTGATGGCCATTGTGATGCAGAAGGAAATCCAGTTGGGCAGACTGATGGCCATTATGATGCAGCAGTAAGTCCTATTGATCCGAATGAAGACAGTTCTGATGTAAGAGAAAATATGATTATGCCAGATGGAAGCAGTGATGGTGAATGTATTTATGAGTCCTCTCCTTCAAGAACGGCAAACATAAATAATGACATTAGCGACAGCGATGTAGGTCATGACCTCGGTAAAATTACAGTGGAGCAGTTGGCGAGACAGGCAGTGCAGAATGTCCGGAAAAGAGACAGGGATGACAAAAAAGCTCTGGAAAAAGCCCAACGAGCGAGAATTCGTCAGCATAATCAAGATGTTTTGCGGGAAGCGGCTCTTGCTTCAACCTCGCGCTCAGCGGCAGACTATGACCTCCCTTCGCCAGCAGTGTCTCGACGGGGACGCCGAGGTAAGACAAAGGGACCAACACTGGCATCGATGCTGAAGAAGAAAGTTACTTCCAAAGATAGAATTGCAGAGAGGCTTCTGAATGCTCGAGCTAGGGATGCGACAATAAGAGAAGTTTCACATACTGAAGATATGAGCTACAGAGAAGCATTCCCAAATCAATGGTAGTATAAGAAGCCTAATTTTTGCTGAATAGGTTGGTGAATCGTCATGATAAGAGTGAATCAATAATTCTTTCTGTGCGCAGTTTTCAGTTAACCACATGTCTTCTTGAGTTGCCCAGATACAAGTAAAATTGTAGGTTTTCATTGTGAAGTTTAGTTTTTGTACAGTACAGTAGATTGAATAAGTTTCTTTTATTTCTTTTGCATGTTCATTTTCCCTTTGTAAACATGTATATGTACCACTCCATACTTGCTGGATTAATAACTATATACGCTGAGGCTGCAGTTCAAATTGTGTTATTTTATCTGAGTAATATTGTGGATTAATTAATATTGCGGTTTTATATGGTTCAAGACTTCAAGTTGCTGGTGCAACTCGTGACCTCAGGTTTTACAGAAAAAACAAGGAACGACCGTTGTTGCATAATAGATGTAACATGTTATTTTCACCCATACATGTTAGCATATATTCGCTACTTCCTCTCATAGAAATACGATTTGTTGTACTAGATTGTGTTATATTCTTACTTAAATTGTTTTTTTTTTTGGACGGAGGAAGAACAGAAAACCGTTTGGAAAGATTAGAAAGCGCTCTTCTGATCAATCAGCACACCTATCTCTAAAAGCATACAGAGAGTAATTCCACTCCACAGTGCACTTATGCCTCGAATGGAACAGCGCAAAGCAACGATGAACCTCTGCACATACTCACTCCGCTTCATAATGTAAAACTTTCTAGCATTGCCCATGTTCTTATTTGACACATATATATAACATAGTTGCTAACACATTGCACAATGTTATTATTTTTCACACATTACTAACCTAATTAGTACATAGTTATATACACATTCACTTACAGAAATACACATATACACAGTTGCTAAGTACATCACATGGTTCAGATCGATAAACAGAAATTACCTGTGTTCAGAACGATTAGAAACGCTCTTATCTGAACCAGGCACACGTAACCAAAGCTAAGAACTTGCAGAGATTTCCATTCCAGAGAGCCGCTTATGCCTCGAATGGAATTTAACAAACACAAATCTAGCAAAAGCAATATACACCTGCACATCATCATCACATACACAAATTAACCTACCAAACTGGACACACACACACACACACACACACACACACACACACACACACACACACACACACATATATATATATATATATATATATATATATATATATATATATATATATATATATATATATATATATCTATCTATGTAACCCCAGATTCAAATCCAACGTCTCGTTCGAGCCGCCGTCTTGGAGGTTCTTACGCGCCAATGGAGGCGGCAGGTTCAGGTTGAGGTCCAGCGCGGTGGCGGCGGTCGCCGGCGCCGGCGGAGGTGATGCCGACGTGGTAGTGGTACTACTGCTGCCGGCGGTGGAGACGGCGAGCATCGATATCGCCTGATCGGCACAGGAACGATCCGGCCAGTGGCACCGCTTGTGGCCGCCGAGCGCCTGGCCGGTGGCGAACCCGCGGTGGCAGACGGCGCACTTGTGGTCGGCGCAGGTTGCCGGGGAATGATGAGGAGCAGCGGCGGCGGCGGGGGCGAGAAGGCGCTTCTTGCCCTTGCCCTTGCCGGCGCCGGAGCGGGCGGGGTGAGCGCCGGACAGCATGAGGAGGCTGGCGGCGACCTCGCGCTCCCTGAGCGTGAACTGGCTGGCGGCGGTAGACGACGCCGCGCCTGCGCCGCCACCGCCAGGGGGCGTGATCCCGCGCCAGTGGCGCTCGGGGTGGCAGCGCATGTGGCCGAACAGCGCCTTCCACGAGAGGAACTGCCTGCCGCACTCGGTGCACGGCGGCGCGTCCCCGGTCGGCGACGAGCACTTGGCCCGCGCCACCATGGCCTGCAGCGGGCGAGCGGCGGCGGGCGGCGCGAGCGACAGCGTGAGCGTGGTGTCGTCATGGCGCGGCGGCGGCGGCATCGGATCACACGGCAGCGCGGGCGGAGGTGACGGCGGGGCAGGAGGTGGAGGCGGCGAGTGCTGCTGCGCCATGGTGGGCTGGGAGCGCGAGAGGAGAGGAGAGGAGGTTTGGGTTTGGGAGTGGAAGTTTTGGAGGTGGTGGTGGGGAGGGAGGGACAGTGCGTGTGCTCGTGGAGGTTAATGCGGGCGGGGAGAGCGGGAGGAAGGAAGGAGAAACCGCTACTTGCCCTCAGCCTCTGGCCTCTGCTGCTGTGTAACTGTGTTGTGACTCACATGCTCGTTTAGATCAGGCTGTGTTTATTTCACACTAAAATTGGAGTAGAAGTTTGGTTGAAATTGGAACGATGTGATGAAAAAGTTAGAAGTTTGTGTGTGTAGGAAAGTTTTGAAGTGATGAAAAAGTTGAAAGTTTGAAGAAAAATTTTGCAACTAAACACGGCCTTAGTACTCCCTCCCTTTATTCGTTTTGATTTTGATTAAAATCAAATTGCTTTAAATTTAATTAAGTTTGTATTAAAAAAATAAATGTTTTCATCCCAAAATATATTTAATTACTAGAAAAAATACCCGTGCGTTGCAACGGGTGAATGCTATTTTAGTCTTATTATTGTTATACGGTTTAGCTATGATGAAATTTAATGTGGGAATTTGCTTGTATATTCTTTTTTAAGAAAATCATGAGCTACAATTAGAAGTCCGACTTTCATCTCAAGTTTTATGTAAGTTTTTTTAAAAGAATATTTCCAAAAGCAAATGAAGTTAAAATCCAACTCATACACGAATCTTAAACCGTATGAACCGTTGGATCTGCATTTCCAAAAGCAAACGAACTTAAAAAATCAACTCAAATACGGATGACATACCAAAAAGTAAAACCTCTTCAATTTTTATAATAGTAGAGATAGCTTTAATAAAACAAAAAGTAAATTGCATCGTCGGTACACAAACTTGTCAGGTGGGTGCAATCTAGTACACAAACTTGTAAAATTCTCGTCTTTGTGCATGAACTTGTCTATTGCGTGCGGAGGAAGGCGAAAAAGACACTATATGGATAATCTTATTGATTTAGGGCATATATTTGAGAAGGTTGCTATTAGAGATGTACCTCTTCAATAAAAAAAATAGAATAGGATATAGTGATAGCAGAAAAAGATTAAAAGACGAGCAATGATATAAATGTTAGAAATATATGAAATTCATCATTTCCATGATGAAGGATACAATATAGACCAAATTTATAAATATTGAATGTCTTATGCATACTCACTACACGTATGCACGTCACATCCTAATCAACGTCAACTTCGTAAAATTAACATTGCCAACATATTTTGGTCCTCATTCGCACAAACTAGACAAGTTTATATACTGAAACGAGCATTTTACAAGTTTATGTACTGAATTGCACCCACCAAAATAGTTTGTGTACCACCAATACAATTTACTCAAATTTAGATCAAAATCAAAACGACTTTGTAATCCGAAACAGATGGTTGTAATCTGAAACGGATTGAGTAATACCTAATCAGCCTAAAAGGCTGGGGGGCCGGCCCTTCAGATTCTTCTCTCGTGATGGGCCGTAGTAGGCCTGATGGGACACATGCCCAATCTTTTCGGATAGGCCCAATCTGATTTGTATCTTTTTGGTTAATTTTTTTCAGTTTATCACTTGATGAATTCATAAATCAGAAGGTTAAATTGGATCCGTGAAAAGAAGAAAACAAAAGTGAAAGCGAATGTATTTTTGTAGTCGAAAATCGTTTCTATATTTGCATATCAAATTTGGGTTGCGTGTTCATGGAGGGACACCGGACACGCGATGAAATCATCTGCGCATCCTGTACTTTCAATTTTTCCTGTGTCATCCAATAAAAAAAACTAATTCAAACAAGGAAAACCAAGTGTTGAAACATGGTAAATGATTTACCGTTGGATCGACCGATCCCGTTCTCTCACTTCAACAGCCATATATATTATATTAGGCCCATCCACGAACAAATCGAACCGTCGAAGTGACTCTGTAGCCCCGTAACTGGAAATGAATTCATATTCAGATTTGCTAGTCCTCACGGCCGCACGCTCTCGCATCCTCGCGTTTCATCCTCCTGTCCGTGCTGTGGATGGACTCAATGTTTTTGTTCATTGTTTCTCGGTAAAATTTCTGCAATTTTGTTTGAGAATTCAAATTTTGTTTGAAAATTTTCGTGATTTCGCTGACCCCCGAAATTTTTCCCATTTCCGATAGGTTGAACCATTTTGATCTTCAAGACTCCAACTCGTACTCGGTTTGTAGCCCATCTCCGACTCGGATTACACGTAGGCGCGCGCCTATTTATAGCTGCTGCCCTGCCCGTCTCCTTACTCCATTAGCTTGCTAGCGCGCGGCACAAGAGCAGTAAGCGAGGCGCGCATGGCGGCGCGCGCCGGCGACACCGGCCTGAGCAAGGTCAGGCGCTACTGGCCCGGGAGGGCGCCGGACTGGGCGTGGGCGGGCGCCGCTGTCGCTCACGACGAGGACGACGCACGTCTCGTCTCGACGCTTGACGAGATCAAGCACGTGGAGGAGGAGGCGCTGAGGTCGCCGCGCCGCCGCCGCCGCCGTGTACGGCAGCCTCCCGAGATCGTCTCGGCGGCGCCGGCGGTTGACTGCTGGCATGAGCCCGATCAGATCGAGGAGGAAGAAGAAGATGACGATGATGCCCGGGAGGAGCGCAGAGCGAGGATAAGGGAGAGGGCGCTGCTCCTGAGGCAGCATGAGGAGGAGCAGCTTCTTCTTCATCATCATCACCAGCGGCATCAGGAGGATGAGGCGGCGTCTGAGTCCGACGAGACGGCGGCGGAATCGGACTCGGACGACGAGCAGATGGCCGTCGTCTACATGGCCGCGCCCCTGTTCGTCCCCAAGTCACAGCGCGACACCATCCGGCTCAGGGAGGAAGAACAGCATCGGCAGCGCCGGCGGCTTGAGCTGGAGCTGGACAAGAAGAGGCTCGAGGACAGGAAGGCTCAGACGAGGCGGATCCTGCTCCAAGAGATCATCAAAGAAGAGCTCCTCGCCGCCACCACAGCTTCGGCCGAAGCCGAAGCCGCCATCGACGGCGTGGACACCGACGACGAGGTGGACCAAGCCGAGGAGCACGAGTCGTGGCGGCGCCGGGAGGCGGCGAGGGTCAAGAGGAGCAGGGAGGAGAGCGGCATCGACGAGAACCCGGTCGCTGATGATCGTCCCAAGAAGATGACGATCAAGAAGCAGATGAGGTTCATGCGGAGGTACTACCACAAGGGTTGCTTCTTCCAAGACGACGCCGACGGCGCGGCGCAGACGGCCGCCGGAGCATGCGAAATCTACCGGCGAGATTTCTCCGGGCCGACTGGGTTGGACAAGATGGACGTGAGCGTCTTGCCCAAGGTGATGCAGGTTAAGCACTTTGGGCGGCGTGGGGGAAGAAAGTGGACGCATCTAGTTAACGAGGACACCACGTACAGGAACTATAGCTAGCCTAGAGTAGACTGATTTTAAGGTTCCTTAGAAGATGGGTACTCCCTCCGTTTCACATCTATTCATTAACATCAATACGAAAGTGGGAAATGTTAAAATAACTTACATTGTGAAACGGAGTAAGTAGTATTTATCCCCACAATTTTGTGAAGATGTGAGCAGTGGCAAGTTTGTTTTTTTTCTTTGCTCCTTGCAGTGTAAATTGTTTTGGCTTGTCTATGCTTTGTATTGCATTTGCATTCATAAATCAAACATGAAAAGTTGGTATATCTAAGCAATGTTCAGAATAATAAGAACTACTCCAGTAGTAAAAAATTTCTAGTTAACCTAGATATCTCACTTGAACTTATCACTAAGTTTACTACCTTAATTAAATTGGTCACAATGGTCAGATTTAAATTAAATTAAATTAAACAGCAGCTGCACATAATTTTCAGTGTTAAACCTTTTATAGTAGTGCATAAATTGCAGTACCCACCAAAGAAAAAAACATAGGATTGAACAACATTGGTTCAAAGGGAGTGTTCACCTAAGATAGTTGCGCTATCTCTAGCGAGTTTTCCTAACCGTAGTTGCTACAAACCAATCCTTCACTTCAAACAATCCGTTGATTGCCTCATTTTACTCGTAGTATTATCATCAGAGGCACAAGTCCTCCCAGGTGTGTATATTGGGAATTGAAGCAAACTTGACAGTAAATTGTAAAACACGAACGAATTCTATGGCAAGAAAAAAAATATCATTCAGAATTTCATATGAGCCCTAAAACACGTGTAGCAGGTTTGCAGAGTGACAGAACAGAAGGGTAAAATTTCCAGTACTAATTTCCCGTTAAGAGAAGCTTGATTGCTTCATCTGTGCCTCCCCACTTTTGCACGCAGGTTGAAACACGTGTGGCCTGCAAATGGCAGAATGAAGATGAGCGAGGTTTAGATTTAGGTGCCCACGAAAACTAGGCAGGTCGAAACAAATTAGTAACAGAGTATGGTATTGACCATTCACTTACAAAACTGAAAAAAGTTCGATGACAAAGTAATTTACATTTAATTTATAACCATAGTATAAATGCTTTGCAATGTAATACCTGGTGGCAGTGACATGATTTTGCAGTGTCCTAGATAAAAGTCACGAAACTAGAGTGCTCGGTTGCAATTTTTTTTGGCCTAAAAGTATCTATGTACGAGGATCCTGAGACATTTTGATTTAATGACTAACTAAAAGCAAAGGTATTATGACAGTGTTTCACTTCCAGGACTAACTGAGCTATCTGTTTTATTTCCATATCCGAGTTATCTGTTTTTCATTTTTGTATCCAAAGAAAAATAAAAATTGAAATTGTGACAAAAAAAAAAACTAAGCAATCTGTTTTATTTCCATATCCAAGCTATCTGCTTTTCTATGTGTAAGTGCAGACTATACCAGGATTCACAATTTTCGAATGCCAAAAGAAAAAAAATCAGGGCACTGAAATTCAGAAATTTCAGGGGGGAAATGTAACTTTGCAAACTGAAAATTTTAAATTTTGGATAGATTTTCACTGAATTTGAATTTATAAATTCAAACAAATTCAATTTTTTTGGGCAGAGGCACCTCCTGTCAAGTGTCAAGATCCACCTGTAGACTAGAATCTTTGAGCTGAAAATGTAAACATTAGATTTACCTGACACCACAGGCTGCACACTGTTGAGCACCATGGTCAAACCAAGAAGCCCTGCAATCTTGGCAACGGCCTGCCACAGCTTCACATCGCTGGTGAGTAGTGAATATGATGGAGAAGTGATCTCCGAGAATCAACACGACAGCCATGCAAAGCAGCCAATCATCAGCGACTCAATGACGGCAACAATGACATCGAACATGACAGCTCTTGGACAACCGGAACCTAAGCTCATTGGAGACTCGGGTACTGAAACAAATGGCAATTATCAAGGTTAAATGAAAAGCTTTGGTATTATAAGTTCATCAAGTCTTTTGTTTCAAAGAAAATAAATTACACCGATTCTTGAAGACACTTTCTAGTTAAGAACATTGAATCATCAAGTAGAAACAAATTATAGTATATGTAGATAAGAGCAAGAGTCTGCAGCCAAGGAAGACGTAGCAAAAAACGTTCATAGCTCAAATAATGCAGCAGTATAATCAAGAACCTTAAAAATAATAGAAGGTTAAAGAGTCAAACCTGCGGGCAGCCTGGCACCAAATACTGTTAGATTTCCTTCAAATATTATATTGTCAACATGTAACCTTAAAAATACTTAGGTAATATTAATTCTGTTAGTATGTAACCATATATTATAAACATAAAAAAGAAATGCCACATAACAAGGTAGTATTGAATATCGCAAAATGGTAACCTTTTTAAATGAAAAATTACTTTAAATCCTGTAATCAGTAATATGGTATTATAAAAGCCATAATCCAAGAACAAGACTAGAATCCACTTTACTCCAGACTGAATCAAGATATAAGATAAATTTAAGCTGCAGGTGTCAACACTCAATAGTTAATCAATGCATACACATAAGAATCACCAAATGGTCCCTCAATTTCATGAGATCGAAATTGCCTCCTCAAATATGAAAGCGGAAAAACGTTAGCCTCTAGAGCATCAATTAACAGGTTCATTTCAGCCCGTATACTGAGCTGCTCTGACACCATAGTGCTGACCCTGTACAGTGAGTTTTCTTGCTCAGCACTGTTAGAAGTCCAATTGCCATCCAAGCAATTTACTCGATGGATAGTGATCATCTATAGAAATTTTGGAATAATCAGTGTTGATGATTGTGATTAAATTGCTTGGAGTAGCAATTCAGTCTTCTTGCTATGTGTGATTCAGGAAAACAGTGACCACACTAACTCAGAGTGCCATGGTGCCCTGTCAAATCAGTAATGGATAAAACGAGCCAAATTTGGAACTTTGAGGACTACTTTGGACATTTTAGTAGTTGGTGGACCAATTTGAGTCTAGTGCGAATGTTCAGGGATCCTTTTCGTGCAATAAGCATAAATACAAATTGATTGATAAACATGACAATTGCATGTGCTTTACGTGAACTCTTTGTTGCCAATTCTTAACTTTATTTACAAATAGTATATGGAATTTAGGAAATAACATAGCACTGTGGCGCCTGTGCCTTGGCCTTGGTGCACGCATCCTCAGGGCTCCTCTTAGAACTTGGAAAATTTTAAACTATTAAGTATGTGGTTGTGAATTGGTTTTGCACAATGTCTTAAATTCTTTAGTAATTCAGGCATATTACATTCTGAATACTCTGATAACTTCCAAGATTTAGGAGCAAACTGAAACTCAACTTATTATGGAACACTTCTATTAAATAATAAGAGTTCAAAGGTGATGAATGCCATTGCCATAGACTGAGTGCAAATCACCTCATCTAGAAAAAATGTTTATGTCATTCCTTTTTAAGGAGATATTCATGTTGTAATAGTACAGAATTCTAGTGCAGTCCTATGGAGACCTGTACCAAGGAAACATGCTTGGAATCCTAGCATTAAATTGTGCAACCACACCTGATGTTACAGAAAGTGCAAATGACAGTAACTTGCACAGATACACAGAAACAAAAAAGTAAAAATGATAATAAAAAAGGTATGTTTTGGTGGCAAAATCAGTGTTCTAAAAGTAGGTGATAGGTGACCATTAGGCACTAGGCACCGGGTAGCATGATTAGGCATTAGATGGTGCATTAGGCAGCTGAACTACTTTGGGTGGTGTTTGGTTGCTATTTTAGTGTTACATAGTATACTTTTATGTAATATGCTTGCTAATTTCTTGGATTTGACTAGTTGATGACCTAGGCACCGCCTAGGCGTCAATTAGACATTAGGCGCCACCCAGCCGCTGAGCCGCCTGACTAAAGCCCACCACCTTCTTGAGCCATGGGGAAATGTTTACTGTCCAGATTTATTTCTGAACAAAGAGATTCTCATAACAGTTCACCGGTTCCAATCTATTCAGATAAAACAATGCATCGTGCGTATACCAAAAATATGCATTTATCCTATTGACTTCTCACAATAATCAGGTAAGAGATGTCTTGAAATACAGATATGTACAAGCTGTTATCTAGTTCTCCAGCAGCCCTGCTCCAGTTAATTTATTGTATCTCCACCAAGCATGAGAGTTTTTTTTCCCTTGTAACAAAGTCATGACAATGATGACTAACAAAAATGCGAGTGAGTTTCTCTAGTGATTTAGATATGCTGATGCCAAAATATTTTTTGTTGTGGTGATTGTAACAGACAGTAAAGCATCAAAATCTGACAAATTAACTATCATTTCTAGCTAAAGTCCCTCAAGAATGGACATTTATATAGGTGAACCATATTAGTGCATTGTTCCCTACTAGCTACATAAATGGGATTTTAACTTCACATCGATTGTTCCACTAGTGCTTGAGGGTGGGATGCAAATTTTGCCTATCATCATTGAAACAGTAGCATAGGCTGGGATTACGTATTTTTAGAAAAGACATGCGACTTATGATTATGGCATTGAAAAGAAGACCTTTGGTTTAAACAGTATGGGCAATCATGAGGTAAATCAACTTGGATATCAAACTTTTCATCAATTTTATTTTGTACAATTACCTCACTACAGAAGTAGCAGAATCATCATATATCATCACTTGATTATGCAAATCATCTCGAGGGAAACCTTGTCGAATCACTCTGGTTCATGTGTTTTGATCAATGCTGGGAAGATTGGTGGCCAAACCATCATGAAGGGGTATATCTCAAATAGAAAATCATCCTTCATTGCCATCTCATACACCTTCTCCACTGTCCTGCTGATAATATCCATGCAAAAGACCTCACCATCCACCTCCAAGAACACAAACTCAGCGTTGTCCCCAGACCCAGGCAGACTAATGCGTGAATCCCCTGACTCCCAACTAGGCTTCACAAGATGACCAAACACCTCGCGCAAACAAATAGTATTTACTAGATTCCAATCGGCAGAGCTGTTTCCATCTGTTCCGTGAAGCCAAACATGGATCTTAAACCCCTCCACATGGATCAGATAAAGCCCAGATTTCTCCGCTTGCGACAGCTTAACGCTCAGCTGAAAGCTTTCAGGGCAGTCATCTCGCACGGCATCGGGGACCTCGATGAAGAACAAGCTCATGGACACCAATTCCAATCCAAGAATGTACCCTGTTGTGCCCAACATATACAGCTTGCCATTGACAAGAAAACCCCGGCTCAATGATCTCCTCCAGTGCGCCGGTAGCTCAATGGGCGCCGAGGTTTGCGCGACGTCCCAGACCCCAGCTCGCAAGATCTTCTCCACCTTGGCGAAGACCTCCCGCTCGCTGCTCACCAGGGTCACCACGGTGCACGCCACGGCATCGCCATCGCCATCGCCACCGTCCTCGGGGAGGAGGATATACCGCGTGTGGCGCTGGTTGGGCGGGAGAGGGCGAGGCGGCGTGCGGAAGGTGGAGATGACCGCCCCGTCGCTCGCCGGATGGAGCGGGCGGCGGAGCTGGAGCGTGGACTCGCCGCCGCCCCTGTGGCACACGAGGAGGCGGCCGTTCCGGCAGCAGTAGATCCCCGTGCCGAGGTGGAAGTGGAGGTCGGCGGCGGTGCCCAGGTCGAAGCTGCCGCGGCGGACGACGGCGGCGAGCTCGGGCGGGTGGGGGAGGGGCACGAAGCGCGGGCGCGGGAGGCTGGCGCTGTCGACGTAAAAGCCGAGGAGGCGGGGCGGGTGGAGGACGGCGAAGCGGCGGAGGAAGGCCCGGTCGGAGGCGTGGCGGAGCCAGCGCCTGCAGACGAGCGCGGCGCGGACGAGGAAGGTGGGGTGGGCGAGGCGGAGGAGGATCTCGCGGAGGAGGTCCCCGTCGTCGAGCACCGAGGAGGAGGAGGAGGAGGCGGCGGAGGAGGCCACCGGCGGCGGCGGCGACGGCTGGGGAGGGCGCGGGCGCTTGCGATCCATGTGGACGCGGTTTTGGGTGGATCGTGGGGTAATTACCAACAAATGGAGACTTGGGAGACCTCCCGTTCATTTGGGGATGTAAATCGAAATCTTGATTTGTCCTTTCGATGGAAAATCCATCATCATTTACCCCATCCAGAGTGCTAAGGTTAGTCTATTCGGAGCATTGCGGTACCAAATAAAAGTATTTTACTTTGTTCTAAAATAAAAAAAAAGAAGTAAAATAATTATTTTTCCTTAGAGATTGCTATTATATGATATCTCATCCCAGGTCGGTATGGTACCATCTGGGTACTGAAGTTATGTATGTTATGGTATAGTGTCATTACCAGACCTGATTTGAAAGAGGGAGAGATCGACTCTCCAACTCGGTGGCTACCCTCCTATCCGACGACAGCGTCTCCCTACCTACCTGTAGCCACCATCGTCAAATCCAGCCAAGCCTAGATCATCGAAGTCGAGTCTAGGCTAAGACAGACAACGACGAGATCTGGCATCCTTGAGTTTGGGACGTACCAAATTCGGTGGCTAGAAAGTTTGGGTTGTAGATCCATCACGGATTGGCAACAGAGAGGGCGTGATGTTAGGGGCTTCGGCCACCTTCGGGATGTGCAGGGGCCCAGGTGGAGTGGAGCTTTGAGACGGCAACGCAGTTCACTGATCGGCTAAGAAGCCATGGCACACACAGGTCTAGTCAAGTTTACCTTCCCACAACACACACGCAGCACTAAGGTTCCTGTGGCAACTGAACTAGGATTCAAAGCCAGGATGAGTGGATCTACCACTCCAAGCCCTTTCCTATTCTTATACTAATATATGTAAGTTCCTTGCATTTAGAACTAGAACGTGAGGCATAGTAATGGCGCATGTGTGATATTTTATTGATCATATTTAGGCTGCTTTAGGAAAGCAGTCAAGCGGGAATGGAAAAAATGTCTTCTACTGCTATCTTATGTGCTAAAATGGAAAAAATCTTCTCTTCTTCTCTATGTCACTCATCACAGTCGGAGAGACCCATGAGACTTTCTTTTCTCCCGGTAGGCTCTAGCGCTACAATGCTTATGGCTGCAATCCAAATAGCAATGGTCCTCGCGGATTTATGTGCACCCAATCCATTAAGGATTCCTGGTAGTGAGATTCCTCTAGTCAAGTCTAAGGATTAAATATGAGGGATTTCATCCAGTCCATTGCGGAATGTATGGTTACAAAATAGACTCATCCCCCTGCTTATAGTATGTAGCTTGGAAGGCCTTGGATTCACACGTCTGGTGCTGCCCTGTCTTCTCCACATCAAAGAGTAAAGTATGTTGTTGAGGTGGTAAAAAGTCGACTTTGTTTGTCACTAAACCTGCAGCATTCTCGTATATTGAAGCCGCTGAAGACTAGGGCCTAAGTATTGCTTTTATCCGAGGCGCTACCTGCGACTCTGCATGGGAGAAGAGGGCTGAATTGCAAACTTTTGTGTTCTGGCTTCTATTATTGAATCAGGCTTCTATTATTCAATGTTTAGTTACCATGGGAAAAGAAAGCTAACGCATTAAGTATCCCACCTGGGGAGTACGTTCGCAAGAATGAAACTCAAAGGAATTGACGGGGGAGGCCCGGGAACGGATTCACAGCCGTATGGCTGACAGACGATTACTAGCGACTCCTACTTCATGCAGGCGAGTAGCAGCCTGCAATCCAAACGCCCTTGCGGCTGCTGACGCAGCTATTGTATATCCATTCTTTCTTCCATCCATCCCTTTCCTTCATTCGGGTCGGTCACTTTTCCGGGCTGGGATCGAGAAGTGGAAGTCATAAAAAACATTTATTTATGCTATTTGTACCGGTCACCGTTTTATGGATGAGTGCTATTGGCGTAGTCGGCCTGACTCTGAACCTACATGCCTATGACTTCGTTTCCCAGGAAATCAGTTTAGCAATTCTCGAGTCGTCAATGATTGGTGAACCAGCACATTCGTTTGCAACTCCTATGGGAGTCTGGGTTGATTCTCGGATATGAAGATATCAAATAGAATACATCAAACTCGCATGTCCCGTGACTCATGTGTGGTATTTGAAAGGTCTTTCTAGTTATATCACGCATATTTTAGATAAACCCCATAGGTGGTGCATGGTTGTCGTCAGCTCGTGTTGTAAGGTGTTGGTTTAAGTCTCGCAACAAGCGCAACACTCATGTTTAGTTGCCATTATGAGTTTGGAACCCTGAACAGACCGCCGGTGTTAAGCCGGAGGAAGGAGAGGATGAGAGCTTTTCCTAGAATTGTTGGCACTACCTGGTAGATGCTTTCAACACTTCGAGTTGGTCTGCCATAATATACAGGAAATGTTGGGAGCTCTGTGTGATAAATAGAACATTGTTGAATTGGAAATGCTATTTGTGCCGGTGAATCGACGAAACTATGTCCTATGCAGTTTTTTGCGCAATGTCATGTCGTAAAAAAATGTTGGACATAATATTTTAAATCTTTTCTATAAGATATATTTCTCTCAAAATGGTGACATGATAACATTTTTGGTATCTATAGTTTTCGGCTCATACATTTTTGTATTTTTTGGTAACATTTTTGTATTTTTGGTATCTAGAGTCCTAGCCTCACAAATCCACCAAAAGGCAAAATCGCATCCTCACATATCTGTCATACATGTGTTCTACTTAGTGTTCTTAGATTAAACACGTTGAATATGTAGAAACCCTAATAATCTGTCGTATGTTGCATTGACTCTTAAGGGGTATATATAAAGTACATAGGAAATAGAGATTTGAAGTACAAGACAAAGTTAGAGTAGATTATCTCTAGGATTTTATCTCTCTAGTTTGTATTCGATTCTTATCTTTAATCATATATGTACTTCTAACAACCTTATTGTCTTACATTAATTATATGTGAACTAAACCATTGTTTTAGTTTGAAAACCATGGGCATAGTGAATTCTCCAACCAACACACAACGCCAAAGGAAAGTTATTAAAGGATAGCTTGTCGATTTATATAACTGAAGTGTGGATTTGTGCTCATAAAAAGCTTGTTAGAAAAAGCCATCTATTTGTTTGGGCTTAGACTTTGTCATAAAAGCTAATAGCTAATAGTATATTTGCGGCTATGAAATTTCCAAAGCATGATTAAAAAGCCAATAGCTTATTTATTTAGCCTCTACATTTTTACCAAAAAAATAAAAAATCTAAGGACACCCCTAAACAAATAAGGCTAAGTTCGAATGTGAGTTTTGGGGCGAGCTTTTTCTGGCATGGGAAACGAGGCAAGCAATTAGTGTACGATTAATTAAGTATTAATTATTAAAAATTTGAAAAAATATATTTATTTAAAATTTGAAAACTTATAGATTAAAAGTACTTTTTTTAGAAAAAAAATACATAGTTTAGCCATTTAGGAAGTGTGCTAATAGAAAACGAGGATGTTACTGAAAGTGCATCTAGGCCCCTAATTTGTTTTTATGATTAATGACAATACAATTAGAGAGGACTAACAAGTTTTACTAAGTGAATGCGAAGGATTGTTAGTCCGTGATGATTTGTAGCGCAATGCATATCTCAACGAATGTGACAAAACTATGAGTTGTGGCAATGATCAAAGGTTATATTGTATATTTTCATTTCTTTGGGTCATTAGGAAAACCGCACTATTAAGATTGATGATGCATTGACATATGAGGTGTGATGAATGTGCTCAAAATCATTTTTTATAAGTGTATCTCAGTTTCTGTATTCTGGAAATTTTCGGAGTTGTCCGAAAGTGATGACATTCCACTTCCCTCCATCACATATTAACACATATCCACCTGATACCTCATACTCTGCCCTGGTGTCAAGTGGTAACTGGTAACCATGCATGTATCACCACAGAAATATGTATTCTAATACACAACAAAGATTTTGAAATTAAGAATTGACAATTTAAAGTTGTTAGGACGACAATGTGGAAAAGCACCCTTTCACAGTTTTGGTTAATGAATGATGAGTCGCATCATACAGCTCACATTATTTCCCTTAAGATTTTAATCATGACATTTGTGTGGTGCAAATAATATCCATATTGCGACACCAAACACTTGGTTAGTGACAGAGGTGAGCATACTTCTATTTTGAACACAAGGTTATGCCAATGCACACCTCAATCTGGTTTACATGAAAAGAAAAGTAGCATGGTTAATATAATTAGAACCCATGGTTGTTAGCACTAAGTAATATTACAAGGACTGGCATGAACAAAAGCTTTAGTCGAACCAAAATTTATAGCAGAAAACAAGGAGTGGTTGGATTGGCACCAAGGTAAAGCTAAATGTAAAATGTTTACAAACATTGATTTTGATATGGTTTGGGATGCTTGGCAAAATTACAGACAAAATTAAGTTTTTTGGAACCAAATAAATGGCCAAATGACACAAAAAAAAGTTGTTTCGAACCTAATAAATGGCCAAATTAAACGTTGGAGATTTTTTGCTATATGATCTTTTTTTTAAATAGGGAAGTATCTGTGCGATCTTTTCCCATCATATTTACATGATATACTCATATTTATACAACATGTATAATATTTATCTATTTGGTTGTCAACAATATTTGGATAATTAATAATTTAATCATATATATATACATAACATGTATAAAAGAATTATATAAGTAGTATTAAGATGTATTTTACATTGTTACATCCTTCTCATTTGTCCATTTTAGAAACACAATATAAACGCAGACGCTCGTAACATGCGCACACTCACCCTTATAAACATACACCCTACCCCTTTAATAAGTACCCCTCCGTACTCGTAAAGGAAGTCATTTTGGACAGCGACATGGTCTCCAAAACACAACTTTGGCTCCTTGTTTCTATAAAAATATTTATTGAAAAGTGATATATGTATACTTTCATGAAAGTATTTTTCAAGAAAAATCTATTTATATAATTTTTACATTTTCAAACTCAACAACTTTTAAAAATACGGAAGGAGTCGTATAAGAAATCTCTTTTTAAAAAAAACTTGTGAACTAACTTAAGGCAATCGGACTCCTAAATTCTTAATTGAAGCTCATAATTTTCTAAAAAAATAAATATCCAAATGAATTTCCAGAATAAATTTTACCTTAAATAAACCGTATAACAATAACAAGATTAAAGTAGCTTTCACCTGTTGCATTGCACAAGCATTTTTTGCTAGCTGTAAAAAAAACAAACGTGGCATTATCAACCTTTACATGTCTTAGGCTTTGTTCGTTCTAGGGAGATAGAGGAGATTGTGTCTCGTTTTCCGCGCGCACGCTTTTCAAACTACTAAACGTGCATTTTTTGCAAAAAAAATTTATATGAAAGTTGCTTTAAAAAATCATATTAATCTATTTTTGAAATTTAAAATAGTTAATACTCAATTAATCATGAGCTAATGGCTCACCTCGTTTTGCGTATCTTTCCAATCTCCTCAATCCTCTTCTTCTCAGACACATGATTTTACTTCATTCAACACAGGCCATTTTAAGGCCCATTTCGAGTTTGCTAACCAATAGTTCCTTCCTGGTCCAATAGAGTAAGGATAGAAGTAGGGTTCCCTAGAAGTTTTTCTTTTCTTTTTTTATTTCATTTTCTATATTCTTTTCTCTCTTCTTCTAGGAGTATCTCTCTCTCTCTCTCTCTAGCGAACTACCCAAGCCAAGCCACTGCCCTCCTCCCTTTGCCTTGCGCCCTTCTCTTTCCTCCTTCCTCCTGCGTTTGCGTGACGAGGAACGAAAGCATCATCTCCGCCCCCCGCCGCCGCCTCCCGCCGCCGGCGACCGCACCCAACGCCCCCTTCGTCCTCCCGTGCGCCCGCCCCTCTCCGCATCGAATCGATCGCGCCCTCCAAAGTCGGTGCAGAGTTCGTTGGGCGAGCCCGCGGAAGGGAGGGAGGTGGGGGGGGGGGGTGGGAGAGGCGGCCGTGGAGGTGAGGATGAGGGGGAAACCCCTCGAGCCCTCCTCGCTTGGTGTTATGTGTGCGCGACGAGGCTAGGGGGAGAGTCGATTTGGGGGGGGGGGGGGGGAGGATTGCGGGGGGCGCGTGATTCTGGATGGATTGGTGCTTTGCGCTGCAGGAATTTGTGATCGCGCGGTGGGATTTGGGATCAATCAGAATTTCATGCGTGTTGCCAATCTTTTTTTTATGTTTGGGGGGTAAGGTTTGATAGGGATTGTTGGGGCCAAATTTCCCCAAATCTTCTGGGACTAGCGTTGCCGACAGTTGCTTCAGTGGTCGTCTGCATCGACCAGCGCCGCAGGGATCCGCCGCCGCTGCCAAGATCCGCCTCTGTGGCCGTGGATTCCACACCACAGCCGCTCCAGTTCATGTCTTGACAGACTACGGATGCTGGGATCCATGCTTGCCGCTCTTGATCGCTTCATCCAATCTTTGCTGAGGCGGCGATGATGGGTGTACCGCGTATTCAATGTGATGTTAGGATGTTCAGTTTCTACGCTAATTGATACGCTTGGGCGGTTTTTGCTCACTAAGGCCGATCAAGTCCGGGCTTCAATTGTATTTCACGCATTACATGCCTTGCTGGTTTTATTTGTTGTTTGTAACTTGCTATGCAAACTTTCCTGGTGGGTGGGCATTAGCTGCAAATTGTAGATAGGATGATCACTTAGATAGACCCTTCTCTGCATTTGATCATCTAGAACTTACACTTTTCAACTGCTGTTTCTCTGCAGCAACGTCCTTTCGTTATACACCACCCATTGCAAGCATTCCGCTCGGAGCTGCATAACATCATCTCCCTAGAAGTCAAAAATATATATGGGCTGATTTTAACATTTCATGGGAGGTTTTGAAGACGATGAACCACCCTCGAAACGCGCAAGAGCATCCTCAGTAGAACCAGCAAGTTTGTTAGATAGTTTTTCTTGCTTGAAACCTGCCGCTCCTTTGGGAAGCACAATGGCTAGACCTTTGCCTTCCCAGGGGAAAGAAGTTATGGTTGGCTCTAAAGGTGTTATTAAGAGGGATGAATTTGTGAGGATAATCACAAAGGCTCTGTATAGCCTTGGTTATGAAAAAAGCGGAGCAGTTCTTGAGGAAGAATCAGGAATAACTCTGCATTCCCCAACAGTGAATCTTTTCAGAAGGCAGGTACTTGATGGGAATTGGGATAGTGCAGTGGTTACCTTGAAGAAGGTTGGCCTTTTGGACGAAAACATTGTAAAGTCTGCTATATTTCTGATACTGGAACAAAAATTTCTTGAACTTTTGAGAAATGACAATGTCATGGGTGCTATAAGGACTTTGCAGAGTGAAATTACACCACTTGGTGTCAACAAAAAAAGAGTTCATGAACTGTCAGGCTGCATAATTTCTTCTCCACAGCATGTATTACTTGGTTTTTCGAAGCTTGGCATTGAATCTTCAAACTCACGGCTGAAGCTGCTAGAGGAATTGCAAAAGGTGCTTCCCCCAACTGTTATGGTACCAGAGAGGAGGTTAGAGAATTTGCTTGAGCAAGCACTTACTGTCCAGCGTGAAGCTTGTTATTTCCATAATTCTATTGATGGCTTGTCACTCTACACTGATCATCACTGTGGGAAGGATCAGCTACCATCTTGCACGGTGCAGGTAATAACTTATATAAGTGCTTATTTCAGTTTATAGTGTTATGAATGAAGGTTGTATACTTGTCTTGACTGCTTATACACCCACATAAGAATGATTTCTTGGCCTACTGCTCTGTTGTTCTGTTTAACCACTTAAATTATTTTCTTGATCCACCACTGGGCAATTTTATTTAAAACATTCCTCAAATACTGCCTTTGGCCACCATGAAGTAATTCTCAGTAGGTTGTTACTATAATGTTGTTACCAGACTAGAGAGGAGATTTTTGTTAAAAGCAGTCCAATAGCTTATTACTGAATCTTGTTACGAAAGGTCCTACAATAGATTTATTATAGCATGAATATGTTGTGTATCACTTCTAATGGCTCTGCAATACGCTTTATATAGTAATGAGCTTCTCTGTAGTCCAACTGGTTAATGCTATCTTGGGCCCTAGCGCTAACTTGTTACTGATGCAAGTGTCAAAGTTCTCTCCCTTCCCTCCCCTCCTACTAAACAAGTAAACTGCACTATTGTGAGTGCTCAAGTGCTCTGTGTTTTTGGATAGTAAAACAGAAGTTACAGAACAGTTTACATGGAAGCAGGAAAACTTCAACTTTAAAAAGTTCAGCCTGCAGTTGTAGTAGGCATGGACCAAGTTTTTCTTGCATATTCCTGAAATATATATATTTACTATTTAGATAAAGTAACATAGTTTGATGCAAAATTCAGATTTGGATCAAGAAAAGATTTGGCTTAAAATTTTTATATCAGATAGAGCAAATAAGAAATATGTGCTACTCATCTTCTCTCATTCTGGAAAACATTGCCTTTACTATAAAATTAGATGGAAACCTAGCTTTTTGCTATGGGAAATTTGCCTGTCTAAACGCTAAACATGAGGTGTAAGTTGAATCCGTGTTGTGGCTAGGTGGCTGGGCTTTGGTGTGTTTTTGTGGGAAATTTGCATGGAGAAATGTAAACATAGGGCCTTTTTGGCACAGCTCCAGCTCCAGCTCCAGCTCCACATCTTCTGGAGCTGGAGCCTAGCTAAACAGTTTCAGCTCCACCTAAAATGGGAGCGGAGCTGGGTGGAGCACTCACACAAAATGAACTAGAGAGGTTTAGCTGGGTTTAGGCTGCTCCACAACTCCACTCCAGACCAAACTTCTGGAGCTAAATTTAGGAGTTAGAGCTCTACCAAACAGGCCCTAATGTGCAAGGTGGATTTGCTTTGTGGTTTTCTATAACCATGCTTTGTCATATACTCATTTTTTTTACCGTTGGGTGATCAACTGCTTTTTTTTTTCCCGTTAAGTTATTCGCCAAGACTTCTCTTTGCTGGCAGCTCCATATCTCAAAATTCACTGGTACTAATCGCACATTAAAATTCTTGTTGCAGGTTCTGCGTGCACACCGTGATGAAGTATGGTTTCTTCAATTTTCAAACAATGGAAAGTATTTAGCCTCAGCATCAAATGATAAATCCGCAATCATATGGAAGGTAAAAATTACGAATCTATCCATGAACATAGTGGCTTATTTGCATGGAGCTGTTTGTTTAGCAGTCCAATAGCCTGTTGTCCCTGAACTTCCCATTTTGCACCTTTCGTCAAATCATGATTTTGCACAAGTTCATTCAGGCCTGATTGGGTGGGAGGATTTGGATCCTTTCATTGAATTAAATCCGAGACATTCTTAGAACAATCCCTTCTGTACACCCTCAGGTTTTGTGTCTCTGCTGTTACTTCTGTCTGAAGTGAATTCTGAAAAAAAAAACGATCTCTGAAAATTAAGATAAAATATTGCCATTTATCTGATCATTTCATCAGTCTACTTGAGAGTTATCTCCAGCTAGCTTTATCAGCAAGGAATCTAATATAGATATTTGCCAATTTTGCCCTATGAACTTGTAGTATAACACCTTTTTTCCTAGCTTGTAACTATTGCCATGAAAGTGCATATTTTCTCATCTGGTCACAGTAGTCTGTCTTACATTCCACCTAATCTAAGTTGGTTCTTATGCATGTCATTTTCAGTTTAATTAGCTGAGCTTATAGTCATCTGGTATATCTATGCCCAAGGACATTAAATTTTTGAAACTTATTCTTCAATTTTTTTCGTCAAGTCTTCTTCACAATTCGAATCCTCATTAGATCTCTTTGCAGCAGGTTGGCATAAAATAAAATTTTAATTTCTTGGTCTCACAGTTTCTCCCCTGCAACAATGCTTTATTTTAGTGACTGAATCTCCTCTACAAGATTTTCCCTTTGTCTTATGGAAATTAGTATGTTGTATATAATCTGTTGCAGAGAACTTCATTATATGTTTTGTTTTTGTTATTGATCATGATGTAAAGGGTCTTTTCTTGATATTCTCTTGATGCAAAGCATATGCTATCATTCCCTAGGTTGATGAAGATGGAGAGCTATTGCTAAAGCACACATTGACTGGTCATGACAAGCCAGTCATGATGGTTGCATGGAGCCCTGATGATTGCCAGCTTCTCACATGTGGAATGGAAGAAGTCATTCGGTGTTGGGATGTTGAATCTGGCAAATGTCTTCATGTTTATGAAAAGTCTGGCATTGGTCTGATCTCATGTGGTTGGTTTCCAGATGGAAAGCATATATTGTCTGGTCTAACTGATCATAACTTTTGCTTGTGGGATTTAGATGGTAAAGAAGTAGATTGTTGGAAAGGCCAGAGATCATCTAAAACATCTGATTTTGCCGTATCAAACGATGGCAAGCTTATAATAAGCATGAATAGAGAGTCCACCATTCGTTTATTTGATCGGGAGACAAAACAGGAGAGATTGATTGAGGAGGACAATACAATCACATCATTTTCTCTTTCAGAAGATGGTGATTTCTTGCTTGTAAACCTTATAAGTGAGGCGATTCATTTGTGGAACATAAGGAATTGCCCCATTCGAGTTAACCGGTATGCTGGTCATAAGCGCAGCCGGTTTGTGATAAGGTCTTGTTTTGGTGGATCCGAGCAGGCCTTTATTGCTAGTGGTAGTGAAGATTCACAGGTATGGTGATTTTGCTTGATGGCCACCTATCACTATAAAATAATGATATGGATGTTGTTAAATTTCGTTGTTACAGTGTTCTTCTATTACTTGTGCTAATGATTGGCATTCTGCATTCTAGATTTCCTCAGTATGTAAGGAAAATATAGTCATAGCATACGTAAACATCCTCAATACATTGGATTATTACACTGTATACAAAAACATCACTACATCTAGTTCACTTTTGGAACCTTGCACAGTACCGCAAATGTATTAATGTTTAGGCCTGTTCTTCAGATTTACACTGTGTTTTCTTGTTATCTAGGCATCGACCACCTCATTTTCTCCAAAATGTTATGAATGCATAAATATTGATTGCTGTTTTATCAAGTCTAATGACTTGGAACGGCTGCTGCTGATTTTATTTTTAGAATAGAGGTGACAGATGAGTTTAAAGTTTAATCCAAATAAATATGCATTATTATGTTGGGATATTTCGTCAGAATTTACTGTCTTTATACTGATAATTAGTAGTCTACCAGATAGAACCATTTAGTATTCCAGTAATGGCACCCATTATCTGATATACAAAATTAATATGGAAAAGAAGAAAGATGAAATGCTACAAATTACTTTGGATGGAGCTAGTTAAGTCTCAAAATTGTTATGGCAAACAAAGTGTGGAGCTATGTGCTGTCTAGCGTGGTCTAACCACTAGATTGTCACGCATCTTTTCCTATCATCTGCATCTATATATCTTGTCCTGTCTTCTGCAACTTCCGTAACCTCAAAATCTGGAATAATTTTCCTACTTCAGATCTATATATGGCATAGAGCTACTGGAGATCTTATTGAAACTCTGCCTGGTCACACCGGCACGGTCAACTGTGTGAGCTGGAATCCTGCGAATCCGCACATGCTTGCATCTGCAAGTGATGATCACACAATTCGTATATGGGGTTTAAAGAAGGCCAATCTGAAGCGCAAGGATGTTGGCAGCAGCAATGGGATCTATGCAAATGGTAATACACCCAGCAATGGTGTGGTACACCAGTGCAACGGGAACAGCAGCAAATGAACATGGCTTGCTAACCAATGGATGGATGACTGGCATTTGTAAATCCCCTTTTCCTTCCCTTTCCTTTAGTTTCCTATCCATCAGGGAGGACGCCATAGTAAAACAAAGCTCTGCAGCACATAGTGTGGGGAAACCTGCTGGGTTTCATGCACGATCTCTCATGTATTCCATCTTACTGTTTGTCACATTTATTTCTTAATTCATGCTGAAAAGATATTTCGATACTATATTGCACCTTAAAGGTCTTTCTGTTCCCTTCATTCTTAGTGCTTATGGTAACAAGTGTTGTGATTTAAGTGCTGATTGATCAAGCACAGAACAGATTGTAACTGGGTAACCTAGGGAGAAAAGGTCATCTTTAATGTAATGCAACATCTATGATCGTCATTGCCACTACCCCAAATTTAAAGAACTAAAGCATGTTTCATTTGAAATATTTTAGGACATTTTATGCCCACACTTGGAATAGTATAAACAGCATAAGGTTGTCTGGAAATTTGTCTGTATTCTGTAAATTACACTAACAAACCTATGCTGCGTGATTTTTTTTGGGTATCAGATCCTACATTGGATTATTCTTTTCTTGCTGAGTTTGATCATATATTGAATTGTAGCATTGTAGATTCAATCAAACTTATAAATGAACGCATACATTTACTTAATTATACTCTACATTGTGCCCTGTATTATTATGTTTGTGGATATGCCTGACCCACCTTCATATCTTTGGCCTTTTTGGCTTTGCTGTCTTATTAAGGAAGTAGGTCAGTTGAGAGGTCTTATATCCCACCAACAATGATAAAAAAAAAGGGCACGTGGGGTAGGCCGGGATTCTTGATGGGGATATATATGCTCCCAAACAAGGCCTAAAAAACTCCATGGAGCAAATGATTTTGATTTTTAAATACTAGTAAATACGCGGAATTATCTAAATATAATGAAGAATAATAAGGTAAGAACTCATTACTTTTTTCTCTCCTCTAAATTCATATGCAATTATTCTATTTGACATGAAATTAGGAAAAAATGACGGGAGTAATTTATTTGTTCAAAATCACATGCTTCCTCCGTTTAACATTATAACTTTGCTTTGTCATTTTTTCCTAGTCAAACTTTTTAACATTATAACTTGCTTTGTCATTTTTTCCTAATCAAACTTCCTTTAAGTTTGACCAAATGTATAGAAAAACATAATACTCCTAAATATTATCAAAATATATACAATGTTATATTTAATGAAGCTAATTTGATATTATAGATGTTAATTTGTTTACAAACTCAATCAAACCTAAATAAGTTTGACTTAGGAAAAAGAAGTAAAATAGACTTATAATATGAAATGGAGGGAGTAACAAATTTTCATGTAAGAATATGTTAATGTCATAAGTTCAGTGGATCCACACAATTAAATGTGATCAATATGGATCATAACTGTGTTAAATAAATAGTTTCGGTGGCTGGTAAAAAACCAATGAGATGAAAAAAAAGGAGTAAATTTCACTTTTGATCATATTTTATTACCAATGTTTTATTTTGAATCACTCTTTAACTAATATTTTTTCTTTGGACCGGTTAATCTTGGCTTTGTTTTATTTTGAACCACCTGACTCTCTCAAGCATATGAAAGATCTTGAGTACGTCGGCTCCTACCCATCAAAGAACTCTCACAACTATATGAAAGATTGTTTCACAACTATATGAAAGATTGTTTCTTTAGGATATAACAAGTTGGATGTAAATGGATAAAAGAGTTAAGATCCAAAGAACCATAGAGATACAAATACTCAATTTAGAATAAAAACATTGGTTAAAAAATGGTTTAAAGCGAAACATCGGTAATAAAAGACTATCCAAAATAAAATTTGTACTTTAAAGAAATACAACTTGTTGCCGGATGTGTTGGCCTATGGATGATAACTACATTCCTCGGTCTCTTTCTAGATGTGCTTTTGACTAATGAAGTGTGATGATGAATCCATTTCATTCAATAATCAGCCGTGTGTTTGGTTCGACCAACAAACAATGCCCTGGGCCAATCCTTTTGTTTGGCTGAGTCGCACAACCGAGCACTCCGTCACCTACTGTCATTGAAACACATACTTTCTATCTCCGCATAAATAGCATGCATGAAACAATCATTACACCATCGTTAGCTAAGCACCGAGAGACTAATGAGTAATAGTTAGAGCATGCCCAAGAGATGTCCAATTCTATTCCCAATCTCAAAATTTTGTAGTTATGTATAAAAAAAATAGATCCAATAGATCTCCAATCAACATCCCAAAGAATTGAAAATCCCTTTTCCGCTATTCTCGTTCTCCACGTGTAGTGAAGAGCACCGCTTCCCAATCTGCCAATCACAAGCAATTTGCGCACATGGGTGAAATATCTCTGCCGTCGCAAGCTTGTTCGTCACTGCTTCAATTTGCGCCACCACTAGCCGTCACAAGCTCATCCGCTGTTGATTCAATTCACACCACAGCCGGCCCCCGAGCTCATCCGCGCCATGCTCGATTCGCTCCTCTATCAAGCCCCAAGTTGCACCACGGCCGACCCTAGAGCTCGTCCACAGCTAGCCATTCACGACCATAATTCGTGTCTCCACTGAGCCTCGATTTGTGCTGCCGGCCATCGGGATCCTTTCGCACCCTTCTCTAGCCACCCTTGCTGTCACCTACCGCTGGTGCTAACTTGTCTCGCTGTACTCTAGTCTCGGCCCTGCGCGAGAGGTAGAAGAATGAGAGGAAGAAGAGAAGAGGAAAGAAAGAGGGACCAACATGTGGTCATATCGGTCAGGTCATTGTTCAAGAGGGAGAGTAACCATTGGTAGTTTTGCAAGTGGTCCTACTTTTTTTATTATAAATAATATGTTTATCTAATCTGTTGGAGGGAAGATATTTTAGGACCATAAATTCTGGTTAGGAATTCTTGAAAACTCATCTAGGGAGCAGATTTATTTGGGTATCTCTTGATGATGCTCTTACTCCCCCATCTCAAAATATAGCAAATCTAGAATTTGAGGGGATATATTTTAGTACAACGAATCTGAACAGGGATATGCCCAAATTCGTTATACTAGGATATGTCAAATCCAGTTCTACGTTGCTATACAGTGGGACGGAGGGAGTATGATCTATGACCAAGCAAAAGAGTCATCCCGTGAGCCTAGCTACTTGTCCTAGAGACCCATAGACACCCACTCTTTAAACTTGCTTGTCCTAAACCAAAACACACAATAAGATGTATGATCATTAAATGCACTCACTAGGAAATCGACGGTGGAAACAAATGATTGATGGAAGCATATCAGAGCCATGTACCCAAAGATAGATAAGCATAGTTGAGAAGAGAGAAAGCAGGTACTCCATCCGTCCCGTAAAAAAAAGTACCTATTACGGGATGTATCACATCCTAGTACATCGTAACACTATGAATCTAGATAAGAGCTACCTCTTCTTCAGATTCGTAGTAACAGGAAATGTCACATTTCGTACTAGATTTATTTTTTATGAGACAAAGAGTAGTTCATTCATAAATAGTAGCGGATATAAGATGGATTGAGAGGGAAAACTGGACGAAACCGAGTGGCACCAAACAAGTTGAATCTATAAAGCATTCTATATAAATTGAAATGTTTAACAATTGGCGCCAGAAAATGCCACGCCTAACACTACCATCACTTCTGACTTGTTGCATTTAAACTTGCAAACATCATTACAGCCACCCAAGTTTCTACTACTACATTCTCGATCTCTACTCAGCTAAAATCCCAAATTATACCTTCCGCTAGAATAGAAAAAGTCGGGAAAGAGAAATTAATAAATAATAATAACAAAACATAGTACCATATACCAATGCTAGCTAGGATTTTTTCAGTACGAGGGCATGATCAACTAGTAACATTTCAACCCTTCAACACAACAAAATGAGAAAAAGAAGGCGGCTTGATTGAAATTCCACCTTGATGGCACCAGGACACTTTGAGTCTTGATTGAAATACCACCTTGATGGTTCCAGGACACTTGTCTTGAAGAACAATCAAACAGCATCTTCAAGTACACAATCAAACAGCGTCTTCAACAAGCACCTTCTACAGCCAGAGATAGATACCAGGCAGGTTTCATGAGCAACAAAACTCAGGAAGAAACTTCCCAGTAACAAAAACACATCCATCTGCATAATACATGCAAAACAGATTGCATCCCTACAAAACATAATAAACCAGACATGTCGCAACAATAGTAAACTTGGTGCCTTATATTACCACTGTTTATCGATGCTCCAACCCTCTCGATCTTTGTTTCCTGGATTCATATTACTATTGACTTTTCTTTACTGGGAAAATGAGGGAAGAGTCTCCATTTTAAAGAGCCATTGTATCTAGTATACTGATTACCCAAAGAAGCAAAAACACTATGCTTTCACTCATATTTTCCAGCTTTCTGAACTTGGGATAGATTCTGATGTCATGGGTCCATTACTGGACCCATGAGAACTATGGTTGTTAACAGGCACCGTGCGCTGAGCAAAACCGAGCAACTGCTTCCGCTGATACTCATTTGTGTGGGGAAGGCTAGCACGCAACAATTCAACTGGCATTTCCCTGCCTATAACTGCTGCCACAGCAGGTTGTGTTTGCAATGCATGAATCACACTATCGAATTTACTCATGCAGTACTCTGTAAGCAGCCCAAAGAAGGCATCAAATGATGCTTGCCATAGAGCTCTGTTTTGCATGCTGTAGGTAGAGGCCACATGCTGATCAGTGAGAAGCTCTGTTGCTGTGTCCAGTACAGACTTTATGATGAAAGAAGCCCCATCACCTGCAGCATGTCCAAGGGGTCGCAGAGGGGGTTGCAGCGAAGAACACACAATAGCTGCAAGGCAAGCACTTAGTCCACTCAACTCCAACCGAACAACACAGGTTGATACAGCAGTAGCAAGTTTTGTCGTTGTCTCAACAGCACTACTATCAGATGGCAAATTTCCAAATATAAATCTTAGATGCCGGAAGACTGCCATGCAAGCAATTCTAGCAAGCTCACTGCCAGAACTCACAAGTTCAAGGTAACGAGAAAGTAGCTTGCGGCCCTTCGGAAGAGAGACTATTCGGAGAAACACCAGATCATCATTTGGTGAGAGAGGTGCATTGTTACTAGGTGTAAGTGGATCAACTAGTTGCAGGGATTCTGCCAGCTGCTCAAGGAGGGCCTGTCTCCTGTTTCTCAGTTGCAAGCCACCATCTTGCTGCTGGCTAAATTGCAGCAAGCGATCAATATCATCTACATCAAGCAGTAGGCAGAGGCCATCTTCAATTGTGATTCTAGCAGCCAGCATTGGTTCTTGGTCAAGTGTTTTTGAAGCAGATTTTTCAGTAACGTCATCACTTGATTCAGAGGTTTGTTCAACATCGAGGAGCGGACGAGGCCTGCGGATGGAAGAAAATGGTAACCTTCCAAGAGCATCAACCTGGAGATACGCATGTGGCTCATCTTTACTCCGTGCACGGGATGATGGATCTCTAATCAAGGTCGGACAGAAGTGGTGCTTGAGTTGACCTCCTGCTGACTTTTTAGCTAAACAGGCTTGATGATAGTAATCATCAATGTACGGATCATTGATCTGAGTAGCAGCTTGCTGCATCCTTGCAATGTTCTCAATTTCAGGCGTGGACATGTACTTGGATCTGAACCGCGGCCACCCATTATCCATCCTCATACCAGCAAGCTCAAAACCTTGGGGGAGATAATGCTGGCCATGCACTCCATGGTGCAGCATTGCTCTTGCTCTCGGATCACTCAAGTCAGGCATTGCCAAATTTGCATCAAATCCACTCATCATTTGTGATGGACGCTGAGGATTGTACATCTGACAACCTTTTGGTGGAGGATGCCGAGGACCAAGCATCTGAGCATGGAACTGTGAGAATTGTGGCGGAGAGTGTTGAATTGGGGCCATTCCATGTTGTGGATGGCGTGACAGCATTTGAGGTGGGACCAATCCATTTGGACGCTGCAGATTGTGCTGCACCAAACCTGGTGTAAGCATGGCACCATTTGGACGAACTGGCCCACTGTTTAGAGCATTCTGTTGCAAATTATTAGTTGATAAACCTGCTGAATCCAAATGAGCCATGCTCCGACCAAGTGGCCCTGGAGGCATACCACCACGAGGAAACTGGGGATGGTGTAACTCATTTTGTGCAGATACAGGCATTTGGAATGAAGTGGGAGGAGATGGCATGTTCATGTTATGTGGTTGACCTGGCGAAGAATGGGATACTGCACCAGATGGAGGGTACGGAATGAATGATGATTTAGGTACCGGAATTGGTTCTGTGTGACTGTATTGAGGCTCTTGTTGTGGGTATGATGAAGTTCTATGCAACAGAGATGGCATTGCTCCAAGAATATGTTCATTAGGATTGTATTGAGCATCTTGCTGCGGCGATGAGGATGTTCTGTGCAGTCTAGAATCAGCAAAGCGGGCTAAATGAGGTGGTTGAGACCACCGGCTTTCATTATTCAGCCCTGGTTCAGCTCCAAATATAGGCTGTGTAGGCCAATATGAATCTTGTGCCCAGTCCAGAGTAGAACCTACACAAATTGAATTCATTAACATTAGAATACAATGTTAATAAATCAGAAACCATATATAAGGGCCCCTTTGAATCGTAGGAATGAAAAAACAGAGGATTCTGGCAGGAATACAATTGTAAAACAGAGGATTGTGAAACACAGGAAAAACACAGGAATGACCATTTGATTGGACCAGAGGAAAAACGCAGGAATCAGATGAGAGAGATAGACTCAGAGGAAATTTTCCAAGAGGTTAGACCTCTTGCTAACTTTCCTCCAAAATATACATAGGATTACCCATTCCATAGGAATTTTAAAGGATTGGATATGATTCAATCCTTTGTTTCAAAGCCCTTCATAGGATTTTTTTTCCATAGGATTGAAATCCTCCAAAATTCCTACATTTTTCCTACAAATCAAAGGGGCCCTAAACCTACAAGAGAACAAAGACTGTAAAAATGTATTGAAATTCACATTCTAACAATGGAAAATTAATGGATATGTTCATCCCATTGGCCAGATGTAACGAATCTTACATATATCCTTGAAAAATGGAATAAATCAAATACCCACTCACTTTGTCTAGAAATTGAACCCCCACGACTAATTATTCCCGATTGTGTTGGTTCATTGATGCTTCTGGTCAACTGAAAGTGGAGAAATCAACAAATAAGTTCACAGTTAAAAAAGAACAACACAATGCAAGCATACAAATAGGTATACAACAGTAATATGCAACTTTATTTATCTATAATCTACATTCTGCAATTTCTACCAAAAAAAAAAATAAAATACACCATGTTTCTGTTAGATCACATTTGTGTATATTATGTGGTTAAAAAGCTATGCTTTAAAAAAAAAACAAACCTTTGAGAATGCTCCAGCAAGATCATCAACGCCAGTAAATGAACCTCCACCTTCATCCTGCAAAAGCAAAAGCTTGATTGGTGTGAGCAGCTGAAGCTGATTCCTTAATTTGCAACATAAATAAGTGATAGTGTGATACTGCAATCTTTTAAGGTAATCAGAAGCACATCACAGCTTAATCTGTTATTTAGGCCGCAACACTAAGCGAAGAAAACTATAACAATAAGATAACCTGGATATGATCCAGATAATTACTGCACTATTTCCTGAGCTAAATTTGCTCAGAAGTACAGATAGTGAGATAAAACAACCTCTAATATAATGAGAAGTGGACTTGAACAACTCTGCAGCAGAGAAATTACAAGCTGCCTCAGATTGCAAGGCAACTTTTTTGGTGAAATATTATTTCCGCTAAAATAAAATTAATTGAACTCTACAAAGTTTTCAAGAGTAGCAGTGTGCATAAAATCCAGCAGTTTTCTATAACAGGTCTACTAGGCAATTATTATGGGCATGGGCCAAAGAAAGCTTGACCAGTAACACATGCCTTCCAAAGCCAACTCCTAGATCCTTTGGTCCACACTCGGGCATATACGAGGAATGAACACTCCATGCCTATTGCTGCATAATTGCCTGTTATGAAATATAATCATTACCTATGTAACACCAACGCAGGATACCAGAAAAGCGATTTTACGATCATTCTCAGCTACTCAATAAAATAACAGGTAAACTACTGAGGATCCCAAAATTGTATACATAAAAGGCCTACATACATGCACATAAGGCCCCACTGCTTCCTGCATGCTGTAAGCCAGCCAGCAAACCTATATTGAAATAAAGAAGGAAAGGAGGAGAGTACAATCAATACAGTAACCTATATTAACTTTACACTTGGAGACATGAAGCCGTGCTCCGTACCACGTGACTGCAGTTGCCAAATGTTCCAAGGCGCATTCTAATATTATGTTCCCTTCCTACTTCACCCAGTCCTCTCCCCCACCATTACATGCCAAGTTTGCTGCTGTTTCCCCTCCTCCAATTCCCCAAATTTTCGACCTCGCTATCAGAGATAGCAAATCTGCTTCAATTTCTTCTCCCCCAGGTGATCGTCCTTACCATGAGCTGATGGCAGGGGAAAGGTGCAGTGGTGGCGATAGGTGTTGAGAACAGCAGCAGTACCTCTGGTCTCTGGGTATTTGGGCCTGCTGTATCTGTGTGTATTGTTCCAGTCCCATGCCGCTGCCGTATTGCATCTGTTTTCTTGTAATTCTAAATCGATTTGATGCAGTTCCGATATGTTGTATGACATGCATATCATGTACGGAACAGCAGTTGGTGCTGAAGCAGTGATTCTTGGATAGCTACTAGGTGGGTGAACTGCTGCGTACCCATCACAAAATTTTTAACCTTGATTTTTTCTCTACTAAAAAATGGAGTCATCCGTCCGCTCTCCTCCGCACCCCACCGCGCGGAGCACGCCCTGTACGCCTCCCTCCCGTGAGCGTAGCACCCTCCCTACACTCCGAGCCCATCCCCAATTATATGGGCCCATAAGCCCATGAATCAATGTCCATTGCTGCGCACGGGCATATTACTAGTGCAGAGAAAGGATGCTGTTGGTTTCCTATTTGGTGACATAAGTTCCGGGATGATCAAGTCATGGGATGCAAGAAAAGCTCAAGGCTTGCGAGCGCTCTTCTGCAGCTCAGGTGTACAAGTTGAGATTGAACCGAGGCACTTGTCTATATGTCTTGAGTTATAGTATATCTGATGTTAATTCCAATAGATGGAAGTAATGAATTCTTAAATTGTTTATGGTGGATTCGCCTGTTCGAATAAAATACTGCCTTTTTATTTGACAATGGATGCATTAAGTCGTTGTAAGGTGATACTTAGAATAGCTGGGCATCATGATACCCTTCTTCATGAGACTTTTTGTAGTTGTTTCCTTATCTGAATTAGGCTCGAAATTCACTCGACGTTGAGTCGAGTCCAGCATGAGCCAGTTCTCTAGCTCGGAATCCAGCTTGGCTCAAAGTGAGCTCATTTGAAGTATAATGTGAGCTTAGTCAATGCAAGACTCATCCATGCATCCCATGGCCCAGCCATATCACATTGGAGGATATAAGCTGATAAGGCAGTCACATGCCACAGCCACAAATCTCACGGCAAATCTCTCCCATCTGTCGATTCTTTAGTAGACAAGAGTGGTGCGAGCTGCGAGCAGGAGAAGATGGGTGGTGCAGGCGTGCGGGCAACGGGCAACATGAGTAACACGAACACCTGTCGCCTTAATGTGAGATTCTTCGGTAAAAACCATTCCCCGTAACTACCGAACCGATTTTATTTGGTTTTTTCGGCTTGGTTTATATTTGTAAAAAAAAAATTCTCAGCGGCTATTATCGAGAAACCGAATTTTATGAAAACCGAAGAATTGACCCGACTAAACCGATGAAACAGAACATCGACACCTACCTTTTACCACAATATTTTCGTTAAATTCTGTGTGGTAAATATGGTATTACTCCCTCCTTCCCAAATTGATCATCATATAAGTTTATACACTAAGACCAAGGATAATTTAAATCACATCAATCTCCCACAATGCATGCATCGATTAAAACACCATGCCAATTACACCTTAGCATACACACATTCTCCCCTGCTGCATTAATTGTATTCTGATGAAATCCGTATCCATACGGTTATATGATGATCAATTTGAGAAATTTTGAATTCCATTATATGATGATCAATTTGGGAAGGAGGGAGTATTTGTTTAGTAAATACATTATACTTACAAAAATACAGATCATTGTTGTGCTATTGGTAGATACAAGTTTTTTCAGTTCTACTTTGGTAAATACCATATTTTACCAAAGTTTACAGCAACTCTTTTTTAACATAATTACAAACTAAGAATGATAGCTGACAGTTAACAGATGAGACAAGAAGAATTAATCCATGCATGCACACAACCACACGCAGGATAATAAAACAGTGACAATCACTCAAGCAGCTTACTGATGAACATGAGCAAGCAATATTAGGTGCTTATGTTGGTTGTGTAGCCAGTATTGGCCAGTCAAAACAAGTGGCCGCTAATTGTTGGAAAGTTGGCCAACTGGGCAACTGAGCCAAGAAGATTATCAAGCCGGGCATGCAAAGACAGAAACATGTCGCAGTACACAAGACACCAAAAGGCCAGGTTCATGTTATTCGGTATTGTTGATATATTCAGTTCCTAGCCAGTTTTTACCCCAAAAAGCAAAATTTCAAAACATGTTTTATCAAACACTAAATAACAAATACTGATCAACCGAGTTAACCAGTGCGGATCGGGATAGTTGCGAAACACCCCCTACGCTACACATCCCATTTGCCACTTTCCTAGTGCATCCCAAATTTACCCTTCTGTTGATTGGCTGCTTCTCTCTGCTGGATGCTACAGCAGTCAATGCCTAACAAAGGTGCTATCTACCCTGAAGTTACTCTAGAAAAGGAATTGCAAGGGCGAGCAGAAATCATGGTAGTGACAGCACCAAAGGAAAGTTCCAGCAATAACAATGGCAAGAAACAACAATGTCTAAGCTTAGCTCTCCATCTTCCCGTCCTCAACTAATGTCCCTCTCTCCTTTCAATGGTCAACACAGCATGGTCCAAGGCTTCCGCATGATGAGTCCACAGTCTCATGGACTATGTGCATCCTCTGAAGCTACCATAACACCGATGCTTACTATTTACTCTTCATTCAACATAAATCCGTAGTGTTCAGGTGGACCCTGCTACCTCTTACTGAACCATGATAGACTAACTATTAATTCCCGTTGGATTGAACAACAATGAAAACAAACAAGAAGTAAAAAAGAATGATCAAAATAACCCCTAGGAGCACCTCCCACCTCTCTCTCATGTTCTGAACACAAAAGGGTGTTTGCTACCAAAGTCATGAGTGCTGTGGGAATTACAAAATTACATACTGGGCACACTGTGTCATAAAGAAACATTGATTTCTTGTGAAAGTTTTTTAAATTGAAAGTAATAAATAATGGATGGAAGTTTGTCACATCAAAATTAAATGAACTGTCATCTATGTTACCTCAAACATATCCCTTCCATAAGCAGAAGGGTATTCTTCATCACCAGGACCAACAAAACCAGCATCGATACCATCATCATCCTCCAATCCACCTAGCTCAACTTCTTCCACCGCGTTGTTGCCAAAGAAAGCATACTGCGACGCATCAAACTTGGTATCGCCTGCACAGAGCCAGAGACAATCAAAGATCCCGGGAATCAGTACTGAATGGTACAGCATCTCCACACTCCTTTCATTTAAAGGTAAAAGGAGAAGCTATTTTGAGTTGGGATTGATGGTGTGCTCCACTCCTCAAGTGACAACATATTTCGTGGCTAGATCTCTATATACAACTACTGAAACGAATCAAACAACCCAAACTAAATCACTTCGGTTAACTAGCTAATCCGGTTCATACCTAGAACACACATAGCAACCACAAGCATAAACCATCCGAAACACTAATAATCCAATCAACGAGAGGAAGATCTTCTCCATCTAGGGGCAATCTACGAGAAGAGACGAATTGCATTACCCGTCGACGCCGACGAAGAAGGCTGCGCCGCCATCCGCGGCTAGGGTTGCAAGTTGCGGCAGAAGATGTGGGGGACACACAGGACACTGGCGCGCCGGCCGAACGGAGCGGAGGCCGGAGATGCCGGAGCGGATCGGGGAGGGAGAGAGCTCGAGAGAGGAGATGGCGGAGAAGACGGCGGAGGCGGAGGAACGCCGACGAGGAGGAGCCGAGCCCGCTCGAGAGATAGAATCAGGTCAGAGGGGAATTTTCTTTTTTCTTTTTCTTTTTTTTTTTGGCTGGTATATGTGGGAGACGCCAAAACGTGCGAACTTTTTGGGCTTTTTTAGATTACGTGCAAGTTTGACGGGAGCGGTAAAAATAACTGAATCGTATGTGCAGTTCTGATGATGGTAGAGGTGAAAAGTGACTGAAGCGTGTGCTGTTTTTTTTTTCAATCAGATCTTATGTAGTTTTGCAATTATCACCCTGCTAGAAAAAAATTTCGAGATTTCAATCGAGCAAAAACAAATTTCAGAAGCTAAGTGAAATATGGTGAATACGAGTTTTTAAATATTTGAAGAGAGGTATTCTGATCAAAACCACTCCATCTAAATTCTCGCGTCGCCCTCCCCTGGGCAGCTCGGGAGGCGACGAGCTCCGGCTGCCCCCTCCCACTCATCTTCCTCCTCCGCCTCGCCGCCACCTGAGCGGCTGCCGGCAAAGCCGCGCGGCCGCAAGGACAGTGGCGGCGGGCTCCTCGTTTCGCCGATAGGGTCTCGCTCCCGGGGCCAGGGGAGCCGCCCAGGGCGGCGGCGGCGGTGACCACCAGATCCTTGCCGCTCCGGCTGGATCTGGTGGGGTGGCGGTTGGCGGCAGGGATGGAGACGGCGATGGTAGGGGCGAGCTGCGCCGCGCGGCGGGGATGGCGACGGCGGGCCAGATTCGACGCACCGGAGGCGGATCTGGCCACCCTGCGGCCAGATCGGGTGGGGCGAGCTCGCGGTAGGAGCGCTCGTCACGGCGGCAACGGCAGCGCGAGGCTCGTGGCGACGACGGCGATAGCGGGTGGCCAGCCAGCGGCAGCAGCACCCGGCAACGGCGGCGACCGGTGAGGTGCCCACGGCGCGAGGAGGCGCGGAGGTGCGGCACAGCTGGTGGCTGTGTAGGCCGGCGAGGCGCGGGTAGCGGCGACGGGGTTAGTCGCGATGCGAGGAGGTTCAGTCGGCGGCAACAGTGGTTGCAGCTATCGAGAGGAGTGTGCCATTCCGGTGCAGCGACCAGCACAACGAGGTGACATGGCGCAGCCAGTGGTGGCATGCGGAGGCTGCCCGGCACGGGGCACCGGTGTAGTGGTGCCCACACGCTGGCGGAGGTTCAGATGGCAGTGGAGCATCGGTGTGTCAACAGTGGATAGGCAGGCGGTGGATGGCGGGTGAAAACCCAGCCCGTCCTTGGCCGAGCCAGCAACGATGGCAGTCGAGCGTCACTCCCTCCTGAGGGCGTTGTCATGCTGTCTCACCCCCTCTAGTGGGTGAAAGCGCAGTCAAGGTTCTTGAGACCTCGCGGACAGCGGCGGCGATGTTTGTTGTTTCTCTCTATCGATAATATGGGCCCGGGGGGTACCTAGGCTAGGAGGAAGAGAAGCCTTTCCTCCGCAACGTGCGCGGTGGACCCAGCCCCCCTCGGGGGGTCGTGCGGTCGGCCGAAGAGCGACCGCCCGTTTCGCCTCCCGGGGGCTCGGGGTACCTTGTCGCGCCCCTCGGGCCCGAGGGGCTAAACCGCCCCGAGGCCCTCGCTCGGCCGCCACGTGGCCGCCACATGGGGGCTTGAGCGGGGAGGAGCGCCGTTTGCCAGGCGCATTTATGGGCAGTGCTCCAACCGCCCCGTCGCATTTAATGCAACGTGGCAGGACGTGCGCCGCCCACTGATGGATGTGCGCCAGGCGACCGGCTTTTGACCGGTCTGTGACCCGGCGATGGATGGATGGGACAGGCGGCAGCGCACCCACGTCTCACTCCGTGTCAGACGGCGTGGGGGCTGGTATGCCCCGTCCCATCGTGTGCAAGGAAAGGACGTGCAGGTCACCGCCTCCCACGCGTGTGAGCCCATGAAGTCGCCAAGAATTTATTAGGGAATGACGGGGGATGTCCCCCATGTCAGATAAAGGACTTCGGTGGGGGCCACCCAGGGGCGGCCGTTCGGATCGCTTCCGGCCCAAGGCATGGGACACTTTTTAATGTAGGCCATGTGGGTCCTTCTCCCGAACAGGGAGGGCAGGGACGCTGCATGTGGTATCCCCTTTACCTATAAAAGGAGGACCTCATCTTGCGAGCAAGGGGAGGACGGTTGGATGAACGGAATTCTGGGTAGAGGCTAGTAAAGCCCTAGTTTGCGCTCCCAGGATCCGAACTCTTTGTAACCTCAAAAAGATCATCATACACACAGGAGTAGGGTATTACGCTCCATAGCGGCCCGAACCTGTATAATCCCCCTCTCTCTTTTCCTCACAGTTGACCCTTCAAGCACAATTCCCACCGACATGGGCACGAGAACGCGCTCTTCAGACTTGCACCCGGTCCCCTGGCCGAACTCACAAAGGGGGGGTCTCACGGCCTCCCGCTAGAGAGGGTCACCCCTCGACACTCTCCCTGGAGACGCTGTCTAGGTAGCACCCTTGCCGGAACCACCTAAACTTTTGTTGCATGCTTGCTCTAGAGTCACGTCGTCTTGTATCGGCGCCCTAGTTTATACAAGTTGGACACATCGGAGGGCCTTAGGGGGGAGCGGTTCCATTCTTCTCTCTCACTCCCTCTCCCTAGATCCCTTAGATGTGGATAGAGTAGTGCTTTGTGTCGGTTGTAGGGGTTGGTTTCTGGGCGATCCCAGTTGTAGCTCCTTTGTTGGTCTAGCGGCGGTCGGTCACGCTTAGCGGTGGCTGGTCCGGTGCTAGCCTTCTCTTGGGTTTGCGGTTGGCGCTGTCGGTGTGTGGGTGGTGGTATCTTTTTTTTTCCTTTTCCTGGTTATGGCCTACTAGGGTTGTGATTTTGTAATTTTTTCTACTTTATCAATTTGAACTTCGCACTGTCTCGTCCGAGTCGTTAAAAAAAAGAAGAAGAGAGGTATTCATATTTGGTTATGTAATGTTTCGATCTTATTTGATATTTTTTTATATATAACTATTTTCCGATATATATAAGCCTATGTTAAACTTATTCTTCATGCTCACATACTAAAAACCAACATTTATAAATCATGTTTTATACATACACAAAGTAACCAACGGTTTAGATATTAAGCACGCCAAACGGCGCGCGTATTTTCTAGTATGGGTTATAGCTCAGGTGGGTAAGTCCCGCTATTTGGTTTAATCCTTTTGTTTCCGATATAGCAGGACAGGTTTGGCCTATTGTTGAATGTTCCTTTATACATCGATGATGAGTATTGCAGGGAGGAACATGGCACAAATTCGAAGTGCAGACATGGCATGTGACCAAAAAGGAGGACTGCATGGGAAGGAACTGACACCGGAAGGAGATTTCTTGGTTGCCTTCCTGAGGTTTGGTTTGTTGTACTTTTTACTAGTTCATTGATACTTAGATTTTCTGTTAATTTAGTCATGCATGTCTAAATAATAGTACTATTTTTTTGTTAGGAGGATGAGCAATGCGACACTTTGATTTGGGTAGATCCAGAGTGGCATCCAAAAGTACAAAAGGCATTCGAGCAGCTTTGGCACTTGCTAGAACGTACCAATCCAGGTCGGAGGCGCTCTGAGTGGACCTGTTATGTTGAAAAAAAAACAAAGGCAGAAGAGGGAATGAAGCTAGAGCTGGAAATGGCTCACCGTCTTTCAGATATGGAAATTTCATTCGAGAAGAAGTTGTCCAAACAGAAAACTGATGACATTAGAAATTGGTTCATAAGAACAATAGATGTAGTTGTGTTCCTTCTCATGAAATTATTTGATAATATGTACTATGCTTGCCGTTGTTGATTTTCTACATGTAAATTAGCTATGTTAAGGCAACAGACGTAGTTTGTCATCTGATTTGTAGTAAAAGAAATGGGGTCTCAGGCCGTTGATTGTCATCTCATTTTTCTAGCTGTGCATTGTTCATTTGGGTTGATGAGTACCGGATGGATGGTTGCAAGTTCAGGTGTACTGAGACAAATTTTCCAGAAAATTATTCATATGGAACCATCACTTCGACACTATTTTGGGAGGCTCACTGGAAATCAGTATGTTGGAACTTAAATCTGACAGTCCGCAACCTGGCATACTGCCGGTGGAATATTAGCTGATTGCAACAGCCTGTTGAGCTTGGTAACTGAGAAATTGCAGACACCAATGTCCTTAACCAGCCCATCTGTCACAATTCTCTACATTTCACAATACGCAGCTGGGTCTATATATCAGACGAACTTGGAAAGCTTAGCAATATGCAAACTTAGTGTTATATCAGTGCAGGTCCCATTAAATAGCTTTCAGAAAAGAATAGAGGTTCAAGCCAAGTGTCAGTGAGCAGTACTGTACCGTACTGCAGAGGATCTGGATTGCAAGACAAGATTGCAATATTCAAGCTCCATTCAGATATATGCTCTGTTCACAGCAGACAAAAATAAGACAGCAGGTTAGCCTAAAATCTTCCATTTAAAGATTAAAGTCCCTAGCAAAAGCTTGTGCTTTTCTCACAAATTCATTACAAGAAACATGGCAGATTGAATTGTTCATTACAAAATAACTACACCATACAGCAGTAGGGCATCAACAAAGTGTGTACAGGACACACGTTCATAAGTCTCATAGCATGATAGTGGCAAACAATATATAATCCTCTGTCCAACAATACAACTTCCCACACATCGAGATCAAACATTAAAATTATGATCAAATTCTAGGTTCAACTTCTACCAGTGCAAAGAAACACTTCATAATTCTCATACATCTTCTACTTTGCTGAAATTTTTTTTTCACAGAGCAAGTTAGTAATTCCTTGAGCCGTCGAGGGGGCATAGGGGACGCGGAATGCCACGACACCGTCGCTCCTGAATGCGGCGGCGCTGCTGGTGATGGAGCTCACCGGTGGTTTTGCTGCCGCGGACGGCAGATGGATGGGAAAAAATCGACATCGGTGGGGGCATGGATGCGGGGCAAGCGCGCCGTTCCATTTCTGCTCTCGGAGGGAGGAGAAAATAGCGAACAGATGAGAAAGAGGTGAAATTGCTAATTAGCGACTGATCATGCACCCCTCCCCCCGTGCGGATGGACGCGTGGCGCGCGTAGGAGGGGAGGGGGCGCGGCGGCCACGCGCAGTGGGGGCCCACGTTCCTTTTTCGCCGGTTTTTGTGGTTTCGGTTTTCTTCGGTTTTTTCTTTGTTTGTTTTTTCTGTTTTTTTTTCTGGTTTTTTATATATATACGTATACAAACTTTATATATGTATGTATATAGTGTATACAAACTTTATATACGTGACGTCTCTTTTTTTTTATTTTTTAATATGAACGTACGTATACAAAGTTTATATACGAACTCTGTATACAAACTCTATATACAAAGTTTGTATATGCGTATATAAACTCTGTATACATTATATAAACTTTGTACATGCGTATATAAAATTTGTATACGTGATGTTTTTTCTCCTTTTTTTGATTTTTTAATACGAATGATATAAAGTTTGTATCATATATAAAGTTTGTATACGTCATATATAAACTTTGTTATACGTGTATATTTGTATATTTTTTATACATAAAAAATATATACATATAAAATATTTTTTTATAGTAGTAGTACTGGTAGTAGTATAGTAGTAGTACTACTAGTAGCAGTGTAGTAATACTGCTAGTAGTAGTATAAAAGTAGTAGTACTAGTAGCAAACAAGCAATTCAGATGTTGTCTCATTAAAGCGATTGTCTAGCTCTTGAAGTAACCAATCAATAACATTATTAAAACAATCCACTTCATAATGATGCTTGTTTGTAATTCCTGTTTTTTGCCTTGGCTTCTTTGGATTAATGTATACTTCTCCCATCTCCAGTTTGGTAAGATCATATTTGTCACAGAAGTTATACACATCACTCTCTAATTTTTCCCATCCATGTCTTCTAAGGTCATCCAAATGACCTCTTGTAGATCTCACACATTTAACCGCATTCACAATATCTTGATCCTTCCATTGTAGTGCTAATGACAAGGTGTTTGTGATTATTAGGACAGTCAACATGAGATGCAAATAAAAGACAAAGTCAAAAGACTAGAAATATACTAAAAGACCCGCCGCTTGATCTCTGTTTGCTCTATCCCTATCATCCTCTTCTACAAATTCTAACACTTCAACAATTGTTGGGAACATATCTACCAAAATTTTGAGAGTTTTGTAAGGAGAACTCCAACGAGTATCTCATGGCCTTTGAAGACATTGCTCTTGGTTCAACCCTTTTCCACTTTGAAGTAGCCCACAACCTAATGCTTTGCTCACATGCTCATCATTGATGTCTCTAACCATGTCCTGTCTCTTAGCTGAACCACCAACCACATTTAACAAGGTAGAAATCATACTCACAATAGCCACAACTACTAACTGAAGTTGGTGGGCGAAGCAATGGACATAATAAGCTGAAGTACTCTCTCATGACTAGTGATTGTAGCCCATTATATTCACCTCGCATATTACTAGCCCCATCATATCCTTGGCCTCTTACTTGACTCAAGCTTAGATTAAAATCTGCCATTAGAGCATCAATAGAAGCCTTGAGGTATGAGGCCGTTGTTTCCCTCACATGAACAACAGCAACAAACCTTTCTTTCACAATTCCACATTTATCAACGTACCTCAACACCACGGCCATTTGCTCTTTACAAGAACTATCTATTGACTCATCAATTAGCAAGCAAAACACATCATGGCCAAGTTCTTCCAAAATGGAATGTAATATTTCTTTGGCAAAGCAGTCAACAATATCCTTTTGAATCTCAGGAGCTATCATAAGACAATTCTTCGATGCATTTTTTTCTCCACTACCTTGCCTAAAGCAACATCATGCTCTGCTAAGAAATCACGAAACTCTAAGAAATTGCCTTTGTTGTATGAATCACTTGATTCATCATGGCCCCGAAAAGGCAAACCTAGCTTAACAACCTCCTAGCAACATTAATTGATCCATTTAATCGAACAAAATATGCATTTTTAGTAGCTTCGCTTTGCACTTGCATATGTATATCGATGTGTTGGGCTCTTTGCAACAAAGCATCACAATTTTTCATGGCTTGATTATGTAAGCTACCAACACCACTAACATGCTCTTTTAGCCTACTTTTTCTATGCCAACCATTCCAACCATCAACCACAAAGGCTTTATACCCATCCTCTTTCTTATTGCGATCTCTAAAACAACATTCTCTGTCTTTTGCCTTGTTATATTCAAGCCAACTTCCAAATTCATCAAACCATTCCTCAATAAACTTTCTGTCTTTACCTGAGATCTTTGTAACCGGAAAAGTGAATAGACATGGTTGGCAAGGCCCTTTCTGCAAGTATTTCCTTCTGACTATATCCCTCTTACTAGGATGGTAATCATCAATCTCTTTTCTCAAGCCTGGATCATATTCAATCTCGTTCTCCCAACTACCATCATCGACTTGTTCTGGACAAGAATTCCGTACAGCTGCATTATTGGAACTATCGAGCGCTTTCCTCAAGGTACTTGTCTATAACCTGTCAATTAAATAGTTTTATTATGTTAGACTATAAGTGCACTGCACAATAGAATAATGTACACCCCCAAAAGACAAATTATTTAGCAATTATGATGGTGTCACAGTATGCTTACAATTTTACTAAGTGATGGTTGATGCCTTGATGGACTGATGACTACAGGACAACAGATGTCCTTGTCCCTTCCAGAGAAACTTTCAGTTCTTCCCTAGCTTATATAAATCATTAAATCTGGATAATTGAAAAGGTGCTATTAACAAGTTAGAAATCAAATAATAGGATTAAAAATAAGACTAGAACTAGAATAGATGATAAATTGAAATTCTCTGGAACTAGTTAAAAGAAAAATAAGTACCTATCTTTTACTCTTTAGTCTCTTGCTTGTGCTTGACTGCTTGTGCAATGCAGTTTGCTTGCTCGGCTGCAGGTTGCTGGTTGCCTGTAGGCTGTAGTAGTAGTACTCCGGCTGCCCGCTGGGCGCTGCCGCCGTGCCGTTGCAGACCTGCAGTGCTGCGGTGCTGCCGGCGGCTAGCTAGGGCGACCAACAGCAGCGGCAGTTTGCTGGCCAGGACGGGACGATCTCGACAAGGCGCTGAGCGGCAGGAGTAGACGCCACGGTGTCCCGGCGAGTGATGGCGAGAGGAGACGAACAGACTCACACAGACGTCGTATCGCGTTTGTAAAAAGAAAGAAAAAAAAAACGAAAAAAAAGGGAGTCGGGGAGATGTGCGGCGCTGGCGCTGGCGCGGTTGGATTGACGAGGCGTCGCTCTCTCCCCCGCCGGTGGCCCAGACGACGCACCGTGTTGATGGGCCTAGCCTTCCACGACTCGCTCATGGGCTAGGGGTGGTGCACGAATTTGGGCTGAGGGGTTCTCATGTGGTGAAAATGGGAGACCCCTAATGCGCGAGCGCGCGACCAGTCCGCTCCTCCTACTACTACTGCTGTAGTGTACTACTTACTACTACTGTTACTAGCGTTGCTACTACTAGCGGGCCCGTGCACGCAGCTTGGATTACTAGCTGCTGCTGCTGCTAGTGGGGCCCACACGCGCAGCTAGGTGGTGATAGTAGTAGTACTACTATACTATACTACTACTACTTACAAAAATATACACACGTATATAAACTTTTGCATATGTATACAAAGTTTATATACGACGTATACAAACTTTATACATATATATATATATTAAAAAATCAAAAATATAGAAAATACATCACATATATAAAGTTTGTACACATGTACAAATTTTCTATACGTACGGGATACAACGTTTGTATACACGTACACAAACTTTGTATATGCATATAGAAACTTTGTATCCCATACATATAAAAAACAAAAAACCAAAAGACCTGCAAGCAAAAAAACCGAAAAAAACAAAAAGAAAAAACTAGAAAAAAAGGCGGAAACAAAAATCGGCCACATATATAAAGTTTGTATACGCGTACACAAACTTTGTATACGCATACAGAAACTTTACGTCCCGTACGTATAAAAAAGGAAAAAAAAACTACAAGGAAAAAACCAAAAGAAAAAACAGAAAGAAAAAACCAGAAAAGAATAGGAAAAATTGGTGGGGAAAAAATCGTGCGACACGTGGTGCCGTCCCGCAAGCGTGCGCTGCTGCGGCTCCCTCTGCGTGCGCCACGTGCCTTTCCGCGCCGGGGGGGGGGTTGTAACCGCTAAATATAAAAATTGGGCCCGGTGCCTAAGAACCCCTGGCCCATTGGGCTCCGCCCCTCTCCCGGGTTCAAATAAGCTTGTATACATGCGGCACCGACGGTTCCTACGCACAAATCACAAGTACCACAAGATGTAGTCGGAATTCGATGGCACTGAAGAGAGTGATCCTCCACTAAAACCTACATCCGGGAAAAAAGTGTGTGAAATGACAGAGAAAATAGTTTGCGGCGGATATTAATTACTCTGTTAATATATGGCAATGTGGGCGAATTTAAATTTGTTAATATGACATGTGGGCTCGATATTAATTATATAGTTTATTTTTTATGTTAGAAGTACGAAACGATGGCCGATAGTACTAAAGGAAATGAAGATAACTTATCTGTAGGGGAGGTGGAGTCTTCACATCCGACAGTGGAGCTATCCCTTGCTATTGTGGTTGCTCCGAAACCAACGGTGCCGCCGTCCAATGGTTCCGACAACGACGTAGCTGACGAGGATGATGAGTACTCCTCGCTAAGTGATCCTTGTCCAAGCCCGAAATGACGGAAAAAGGACGAGGGTGAAAAAGGCGACAAGGACTACATTCCCCGTGATTAAGGGATAAGTACAATTAAGATCTGAACTATTTGAGTGATAACTATTAGCCCGAACTAATTCGAAACTTTGATACCTACTCATAGGAAACGGGGCCACGGAGATCAAAACGGTAGCCAAGAAGAAAGATAAGTCAAAAGACGACGAGGTCCCAGCTAAGTCCACCGGCTCAAAGAAAACCGATAAGTTAGCACAGGCGAAGAAAAGAAGGGCGAGAGAAGCGTCAATAAAAACGACGAAGGGTTCTATGTTGTGACCCATGTTGGTCCAAAAGGAGAGCCTCTCGCCCCTCTGACTGCACGTGCGAGATTCAGTTCACAGTGTGTCATAATAGTAAGGGAAAGGATCACAATCATGATCAAGGACTGTGATCATGTATAGGATGGAGATAAGGAAGTCCTATGAAAAGAGCTGAAGAAAATGTTCCAGTTCCCGGATGGATCAGAAGCAGCGGTGAGGAATTGTGCACTGCAAACAATGGACAAGTCGTGGCGTGGTTGGAAAAACACATTGAACACAAAATTCGTGAAGACGGGCCGGACACCATTTGAGACATATGCCAATATAACACCGACACAGTGGAACGACTATGTTAAGTTGAAGACCTCCCCGAAAGAAATTGCCAAGAGCAAGAAGTTTGCTGAGTTGGCCAAGAAGAACAGATTTCCTCATCGCTTAGGCTCCGGGGGGTATGCACCAAAGGTGGCGCAGTGGGCAAAAGAGGAGGAAGAAATGAGGAAGGCGGGGCTTCAGGTACCAATGGAGGAATGGAGCGAAATATCGAAAAAATGGGTAAAAGCTAGAACTCCTAAGATCACGCAAGAAGGCGAATTTTCGTTTGAAGACCTCGAGCTGCAAGGGGTTGCCAATAAAATAGAGTCTTTATCCAGTGCATAGAAGACATGATTTTTTAAGCCAAAGAGGGAGAAAGATGTGCTAAATATGACACTGGGTACTCCTGAGCACAGAGGGTAGGGTTCGAGGTGTATCGTCCAAGCTCAGTTGGAAGGAAGGGTTCAAACATGACCCCTACAAGAAATGTGACGCCTACAAGGATAGCCTAAGGGATGAAGGGGCTAAGGAATTTGAAAGGCAAATGATGGATTTCTGCATTAGGCATCTTATTTTGCCTGACCCCGCAACCAAAGAACCTGAGCCAGATTACCCCTTTGATGACCTGAAGGAGAATACACCCTGTAAGTTGCACGTTCCAATTAGATGCTTTGGAAGAACTCTTGAGGCCGCTACAGCCATTGCTATCCCTGGCAGAACATATAACGGAGAGTTCATACCCGATGAGTATGCCAAAGTGCAGTCGCAAGTGGTCCACCAAGGGTTTGAGTCGTACGACATCGACATCCCTACTCCTGATGGTGTATCCGTACTTGGGGATGCGGTCGATATTATAATTCTTTGGCACAAGAATGACATATTCTTTGGATTGGGCACCGGCGCCCAGTGAAAACTGGTGGTGCCAAAACCGGGGGTGCAAAAACCTCCGAGACCTCCGAGACCTCCTCAGAAGAGGCAGGTGACTGATAAGGTGGAAGAACCCAAGATACCTATGGAGATTTCAGTGCCGGAGGTGTCTAAGGAAATTTCAGTGCCGGAGGTGCCCATGGATATTTCAGTGCAAGATGTGCCCATGGAGATTTCAGTGCCACAACTAGATGTGCAACTTCTGGCAATAGTCGGTACAGATATAGAAGTTATACCAGGTTTGGAATGGGACGGTACAGATCTAGAAATCTTTGAAGTCCCTAATCCTGCGAAAGACCCTGAGGTGCAAGAACCCCCGGTCAATGACAAGGCCACTGAGAAGTCTGAAGTGCCTAGAGTGCTTAGGAGCCACAATTCCAAGTCCAAAGATGATCAAAAGGAGAAGTTCATGGTATCCGTCTTTAGAAGGGGTAAGGAACATGCCAACCTCAGAGAAGATGACCCCAAGAAGGCCGCTGCACTAGCCGGGAAAAAAAAACTTGGCAATTGATGATTGCCCGGAAAAATACGAACATGGGAAAGAAATATGACCGGATTTTGCACTTGAGGACGGTCCATGGGAGATGAGAAGGTTACATAAATGGTATATGGACACTAGCAAGAAAGGCCTAAGTAATATAACAGTTCGATCACCGATAGATGCTTTCGGCGGCAACGGTTACTTCTGGCTAGATTTTGAAGATCTCCACGCCATATATCGTCGGGAAAAGATGGACGTCAACTATGTCGCTGCTGGGTGCCTGTGAGTATGAGTTTACATTAATTACATGAAAAATATGTACAATACAAAACCATGTGATTATTACTAACAAACTTCTTTAAACTTCTTTTGTAGGATGCAATACATGGATGCTAAGGAGAAAAAAGAACTTATCGGATTCCTGGATCCAATTAGGATCTGTCAAACACAACATACCGTGAGGTTATCACTAGGGTCAGAGTAGCTGAAGGACAAGACTCCCGAAGAGATAGCTGAATACAAGTTGGGCTTGCAGAAGCAAAAAATGATTACTATTGCACAGTACATTGGACGAGTCTTCTTGCACTTTCAAAATAAGAGAGTCGTCCTGGCCTCTTATAATTTTAAGTAAGTCCAGTACATTTCTCTTCTACATATATGCCTTATTTTAGCCGCGACTAACTGCATTGTCGTTAATATGTAGCGATCATTACATCTGTTTAATCATCTACCCGAAGCACGGAACCGTGACAATCTTGGACCCTCTCGATTATCGTCACCAGTCATACAGAGAATTTCTAACAATCTTACAATAGTAAGTGATTCTGACACTTGCATGTATACTATGAATGTATTATAATTAAATCTCCTCCTTAATGCGAAACGATACGAAATCCATATAGTGCGTACAGCTACTACAAGTTCAAGGGTGGAGAACAGATTCGAACAAGGGAGAAGCTGCTAGTACATACATATTGGCCGATAATACTCCACTCACTTAATGTATTCCAATTGTTTCACTAATTGCAAAATTTAACTATTTTCTTCTACGATATATCATGAAGTGTCACAAGCAACCTAGAGGCACTGTCCTCTATGGGTATTACGCGTGCGAATTCCTCAGGGTTAATGGGAGGTACATGGTTAACGCAGAGGATGCAAGTTTCTACACTATGGACTAGACAACTTCACATATAGATGATACTAATATATTGTGTTTCTTCAATGCATGCAGTTGCCAAGAATAGAACATCGAACAAGCTTTGATGATACATGCATCATAAATATCTAGCGCGATCTTTGCCACTTCATCCACTGTGAGTGTTGTCATGTGAAAGGAGAGTTCTTCGACCCAGAGGGTGCCCTAGCTACAAGTAACGAATACAAGCATCTTCTGGAGTGGAGCAATGCTATGCCAAAATATAATTAGATAGCGTATTTCAAGTGAGAATGTAAAAAAAAAATATTGTAATATTTTGTCAACACTTTTCACTTATGCAATATATGTAGATTTCTAAGTATCAAAA